ACCAAATATAGTGCCCACACTTATAATCCCAGCACTGGGGAGATGAAGGTAGGAAGATCAGAAGTTCAAGATCATCCCTGGTGGCCGGAAGTGGTGGCCCACACCTTTAATCCCAGCACTCAGGAGGCAGAGGTAGGCAGAGTTCTGTGAGTTCAAGGCCAGCTTGGTCTACATAGTGAGTTCCAGGACAGCTGGGGCTACAGGGAGACCCTGTCTCAAAAAGACCAAAAAAATAAAAAAGATCATCCTTGGCTACACAAGGTGTTCACAGACCAGTCTATGAGACTCTGTCTCAAAAAAACAAAACAAAACAAAAAGTATGAAGCATTTCTGTCGCATTGTCTCATACACTGTCTAGAAATCTGAAGCTGAATCATAACTGGCCTGGAGCACAGAGTCTAGAAACAGGGCAGGAAGGGGTGAGTCTCCAGGGCCTGCTCCTACTGCCCTTACTCCTAGCATCCCCACATAGATACACACAGCACACAGTCCCAGGAATTCCCTGAGACAGCCTAAAGTCAGGACTCAGGGCAACTCCTGGCCCAGTCACAGGGCGTGTAGGAGTTTTTCTTTACAGAATCTGGGACAGTAATCCTGCCCTCTGGTTCCCTGAATAGACAGGGTAGTCTGTCTCAAATGCACAGGGGAACATTCCCCGCTTTTCGCTCCCAGTTACTTGAGGTGTGAGAACTTCTCAGGGTTTCTCCTTACATGTCAGGAAGGCCATTTGGCTCAGGCTTTATTGCCCGACAGGACCTCAAATTTAGACTTCTGGTGCTATCTCCGAGTGCAGTTATAGTCACACTTTTACTTGGTAAAACAGAAAGGAGGGATTTGTCATAAAATTGATTGAACTTTTATTACAGAATTTTCAAATATACATACACAAAAAATAGAATAGCCCAATGAATCTGATATGCCCATTATCATAGACCTTTACTTAAAGGATAAAATAGAACCTGTGGCTCCTTAGTTCCTTATGATGAAAATTGAAGAATCACTGATTCATTAGATAACCATTAGGTTGTGTGTGTGTGTGTGTCTTTTTGAGACAGGGTCTCCCTGTAGCCCCAGCTGGCCTGGCACTCCCTATGTAGACCAGGCTGGCCTTAATCTCACAGAGATCCACCTGCCTTTGCCTCCCAAGTGCTAGGATTAAAGGCATGAGCCATCACATCCGGCTATGATGGAAATGTCTATAAATCCTGTAAAGATTTTGTGGATAACACAATTGTAACATTGTGTTAAGAAGTGTTAATATGGGGGCTGGAGAGATGACTCAGCAGTTAAGAACACTGTTCTTGCAGAAGACCCAAGTTGGAATCCCAGCACCCACATGGCAGCTAACAACTGTCTGTAACTCCAGTTCTAGGGGATCTGATGGCCTCTTCCCTCTCTGTCCTCCACGGGCGTTGCAGGACACAGGTGCACTTACCAATATGCAGGCAATACACATATACACATAAAAATGATAAATAAAATATTTTTTTAAAAGAAGTGTTAATATGGAGATGGGGAAATGGCTCAGAAGAGTAAAGGGTTTCCTGTACAAGTGTGGGACACAAGTTCAAATCCCCAGAACCCACTTAAAAACCAGGCAGGAATGATAACGCTCAGCAGGCAGAAGGCAGGGGATCCCCAGGGCGTGCTGGCTGGCTGGACTTGCTGAAATCCGTGCACTCTAGATTCAGTGAGAGAAACCACTGCAACAAAATGGAGAGAGATTGAGGAAGACACAGGACTTCAGTTCAAGCCTATAGGCGCGCGCCCGCGCGCGCACACACACACACACACACACACACACACACACATACTTGTGAATATACATACATGCATGCACACCATACACACACTATTTTTGTCAAGTATAGACATGCCTGTTTTTCCCAAGTGTACCTGGAACCCCCAGAGACAGGGGGACCTGGACCTCTCTCTGGCTGACAAAGGATCTGAATCCCAGGGACCAGTTGCTGAAACCAAGCTTCAGAGACTAACTGGGCATGGCTGCCCCTTGGAGCCCAAGGGAAAGCTCTAAAGTCTGCTCTACAAGTGGCTGGACTATAGCTGTTTTGCTATAGATGCTGAGAATGCCTAACTAGGGCCAATTAGGGATTTCTCGTGTCTCTGCAGGAACCCAACACAGTAGCTTATGGTGCAAATTCTACCCTGGACTGGGGAGCATGATCCTGGCCCTGGCCCCTGATTCCTTAGGAACTCCAGTTTGCTTGGAGAGTTGCAAAGAAATATATCTGAAGGGAGCAATTAAGTACCTGACTGCCTGCTTTAGAATTTGGACCATTGTTTAGCTTAGGAAGCAGCCCTGTTAGTGACCTGAGTCAACCAGGACTGCACAGAGCAAGCCAGGCCCAAAAAAGGGCAGGGCCACCAACCTCCCATTCTTTCAGGGTTCCCACAGTGCCCAGGGCCCTGCTAGCTTCACAATGAACTTCAATGCATGCCTTTGATTGAACCTTTCCCTTTTGTATCTGTCTCTGTCTCTCAGCATCTCTGTCTCTGCGGGTCTCTGGCTCTCTCTTGTTTCCCAACATCCTTCCTGAGCCCCTGGGGAGCAGAACTTGGGGGGAGGGGGGATGGGCAGTGGGAACAGGACGCTGCCCTGTTCTCACCAAGGACAATAAGGGCCGGAAAGGGCTGGAGCCAAGGCCTGGCCCAGACTCCCCCTCCCTGCCTGCCCTGGGCGCCCCAAAGTCCCACCCTGTCCCACTGGCTTGCCCTAAATGCCTGACTCCCCTAATGCCAATGCCTGTCTGGAGAGGCCAGCCCTGCCAGTGTCATCTTCTACCCCCAAGGAGCACTCAGGGTCAGGGGCCAGAGGCCTCAAGCCAGGCTACAGAGACTTCCATGTCTACACCCACGTATTATTTACTCCTGTTTCCGGAGATGGCTGGAGGGTGCCTGTGGGTGTCACTGCCACGTGTGCTGGAGCAGAAGGAAACATCTGGTCTCACTCAGTCTGTCCTTCAGGGGAGGACGCCCTCTCTCCCACAGGTCGCTGCCTCTGGGGTGGAGCAGAGTCCCAGGAACCCTGAGGCCAAGAGGTTGTATGTTTGCTCCTTTCACCCTTAGGTCTCCGGAAGCCACCATGTCCTCATACCCCTTTACTTAATGATGGTGATTAGGTGGCTGTGATACCCCTGCCAGGGTTAATTGGCAGGTCAGGTATATACAGCCTGCAACTAGACACCACAGAGATAGGCTGGGTGGAGAGCTGCTATAGGCGCCAACATGCCTTGTAAATGTACCCACTCCTTAAGGAAGGGATCATTATTCCTGGGCTACATACTGCCCCTGGTCTAGTGGGTAACAGCAGATGCCTTGATCCCTTAGCACTGCCAACACAACCTGTTCTCTGGTCTTCCCCCATGTTCCCCTAGCCACAGAACTGATGTTGATTGCCTGGCTCCACCCAAGCCAGTCCTTACTGTGGAAGACCCAGGACAATCAGTTAGGAAGCTTTATCCCAGAGCTGTCTGCACCCCACAGGACTGGGATCTGGCCCTATGTCCACTGCACCCACTGCAGGTTAGAAGTCAAGGTTTGACAGTAAAATCTAGAACCAACCAGCCTTCCCATAGACCCAGGACCCGTTTCAAACAAACTCCCTCTTCCCCCAGTCTCAATTATCACAGTCCTCTTCCCTGCAATCTCACTAGGTGAGGCTGGAGCCAAGAACTGTCATCCTCTCTTGGAGGCAGTGATCTCAACTAGCTCTCTGCTCCAATAGGAAAGGCGGCTTCAACCCTCCCAGTTGGGTCGGACCCTCAGATGCCCCCAGGATGGCTTCCAGAGAACTAGCAGCACCCCCTAACTGCTTCTCAGGGCCAATTTGGAAGAGAGGGTTCTAAGTCACCAGAAAACGTGAGTTCATAGCACCCCCTACTGGCATAGCACTCTCTTCTTAGCCAGGGTCTGGGGCTCTAGGCCCAAATGGGAATGGGATATAGTAGGGTGGCCTAATCTTTGACCTAACCTTCTTTGACTCTCTTGTTCATCTTCACTGGGGCTTGTTCTTTAACTTAGGCATCTCCCATGTATAGAGTTTTGTTCTACTCCATCAGGCAGGAGAGGAGAGGCCTTTGTGCTCCAAAGGACAGGCACTCTGGACAGAGTTGCTTCTCATGACTGTACAGGACAGGAGTTGGGTGGCTGCTTGCTTCATTTCCATCAAGACTGGCTCAGAGGCATATGGCCTAGATGTTGTCATTTGACATACTCACAAAATTTAAGAAGTTCCTAACATCTTGGCTATAGGAAGAGGGGGAAAAAACAAAGGCACTAGAGCCAAGAGGAAAGGGCTGGTGATTAACCTGGGGATCCTTGTAAATACAGGTAGGCTTGTGTCCATGCTAGAATAGAATGGATGGGTGAAGATGACATCAGCAGGGGACTCCCACCTCTGGACTTTCAGCAGAAGGGGTACAGGCTCATGTGCTCATCAACCTCATTTCTGAGTGGTGTAGAAGCCCACGAGAAACCCAGTGGTGCAGGAATAAGAGAACTTTTATTTATTTATTATTAATTAATTAATTTATTTATTTATTTATTTTTGGTCTTTCTGAGACAGGGTCTCCCTGTATCCCAGCTGGCCTGGAACTCTCTATGTAGACCAGGCTGGCCTTGAACTCAGAGAGTTTAATCCCTCCACTGGGATCCAGCTGAGGCCTACCTTTTCTTATAAGATCTATTCTAATTCTGAGGTGGAAAATGATAGAGGACATCTGCCACCCTCCTCTAGCCTCTGCACCTGTGCACCCACATGCAGATACCACCCCCCCAATCAACTAATGATTAAAAAAAGATCTACTCTGGTTATGAAAGGCAGTCCTCCCTACATCACAGTCTTACCCTTTTACCTCTTTCCCCACAGGTCTAGACTGTGTATTCATGCACTTTTCTTCTATAATGACTCTCACACAAGTAGATGACACTCCAGTGCCTAGCTCAGGCACTGGCAGATGAGGCATGTAACTTATCACAGCTCGTAGACAGAATTACAAAAACTTTATTGGACACTCAGGGTTAGTTTCTCTTCTTGCCCTTGCCAGTGACTTTGGCTGGTGTGAGGACTGGAGCTGTTGCCTGGTACAGAGTAGAGGAGATCTTGTTGATGTAGTAGAGACCAACCATGGAGAAGATGAAGCTACAGGAAGAAGAAAGGTCATCACATCAATGAGCATATTCCCAGCCTAGCAGGGCAGACACTGGCTTCAGGCAAAGGAGTCAGGTTTAGGTTTAGGTTTAGGAAAATAAGGAAAGGTAAAAGTGAGAGAGTAGAGGGAGAGGCATATAGTACGGGGAGAGATCTGACATTATAGTAGGATCTGATGCCAAAAGACAAGGCAGAGTTGTACCCCTTACCCAACTGCCAAGCACCTACCAGGTAGTGACACAGACTCGGTGGATGAGGCCAGATGCAAAGAGTGCTAACAGCAGGCAGAGGAGAACTGGGGAGGCAAGAACAAGTGGGGTCAGGTGGTAGTCAAAATAGATAATACAAAACCTAGAGAAATCTGGGGTCACTGAATCTTCAGGAATCTGCCTGGAAAATTTTGTCATGATCAAAGCAAAAAGACTTCAGATGGGCCTTAACACTGCTCAGGACATGGATGTAGGAGACGAATGTGTTTTACCAGCTTTGCCCCAAATCTCATTTAACTTCCTGGCTTTTCTCTAACTTAAAAAAAAAAAAAAGCCAGGCATAGTAGTACATGCCTTTAGTCCCAGCACTTGGGAGGCCGAGGCAGGCGGATCTCTGTGAGTTCAAAGCCAGCCTGGTCTACATAGTGAGTTCCAGGCCAGCTGGGGGCTATAGGGAGACCTTGTTTCAAAAACTAAAAAAAAAAAGAAGAAGCTGGATGCAGCAGTGTGTGCCTACTTAGCTAGAGGCTGAGGCAAGAGGATCACTTGAGCCCAGGAATTCAAAACAAAGCCAGCCTAGGCAACACAGTGAGATCTTGCCTCAAAAATTAAATAAATAGATAAATAAATAAAGGTACTAGCAGAGTTTCAAGAGGAAGGCTTACTGGCACTTGGGAAAGAGGGATAAGGCCTTCCCAACAGGAAAGTAGAGAGGTGAGACAGAGGAAAGCAAGGGCAAACAGGCCCAACTGAAGAGGCCAAAGGCAAAGGACTACAAGAACTTTGCACCCTAACAATGGTTTCTTTCAAAAGATAACAAAGTGTAACTGACAAAGAGAAGCACTAGGGCTTTGAATGGAAGGAATTCTGGAAACCTACAACAGGGCTAGGTGAGGAGCACAAGTGTGGGGGGTGGGGAGACGACACAGGGACAGGGACAGGGACGGGACATAGCCCTGTTTCATCTTGAATCTTTCACATGAGATTGTTATCTACTGTGAATTTTTAAGCATTCCTTAGGTGATTTGGTCTCCATGCCCCAATATGCTTTAAAATTTAACTCTCCACCAATAATTGAGTCATCAATTCTCAATTATAGAAGCAATTTAACAAGAGTTAATCTATAGAGAAAATGATCTAACGGGACTGGAGATGTGGTTGACTTGGTAGAGTGCTTGCATAGCATGCACAAAGCCCTGGGTTTGGTACCTAGGACCACCTAAACCATCAGTGGTGGTGCTAATCCCAGCCCTGGGAACTGGAGGCAGGAGGGTCAGCAGTTCAAGTAGTTCAGCTACACAGCAAGTTCAAGGCCAGTCTGGGTCACACAAAACCCATATATATGAAGGTGTAATGAGAGAATGATCTGTTATTCTCATTTGGTCAGGAGTGCTGATGTCATAAAAGTCTGGTAATATTTAGTTACTTCACAATCCCTTCAAGCAGAAATCACTAGTGTTCAATTTCACATCAGAATCCCTCAGTGAACTTGGTCCTGCTTCCTCTTCTGATAGGGACAAAGTATACCTTCCCAAGGATGCAGACCAATCATCAGGGCAAACTTAACTGCTCCCTTGAAGCCTTTCCCAGGAGCAGGCCACAAGGCATTTCTTGTTTTAGGAAGTTTTCTCTTCCAACTCCAATGCATGGAGCTAGGAAAGACAGTCTTCAACACAGTTTTAGCAACACATTTATCCCTAAAGCCCTTTACCATCTAAGCACGGGGAAATTCAGCATCATGGTTGGGGTCGACTAAGGAGCATTCAGCCCGATTTTCACTTACTCTCAGGGAAGATCTTTGCTTGGAATCCTTTACCAAAGACCAGATTCTCAAGATTATTGAAAGCCTAGGTTGAGGGAGTTAAGGAGAAGGGCGTGCAACAGGGCCAAGGGCTAAGAGGGGTGGGGAGGGGCGGGCAAAGCCTACGTGGCCCACCACCCATCTTCTGTTCAAACATCCCTCCCACTTCCAGCGCGAGGAGGATACGGTGAGAGAGAAGACGAAAAGGCCGGAGCCCAGTAGGCCCCCCTGAATGGTGAGCCACTCGGTGGACGCCAGCTGGCGGCTGTATATCTGCATGCCAGCGAAGAGCAGCAGGGAAAGGAGGGAGGACAGCGCCAAGGAGGTGCCGGTACCGACCACTGGAGATGAGAAAAAGACGGAGTCAGGCTGAACCGCAGGCTCCAGGGCTCGAGAGGTCCACCTTTTCCAAACTCTCCCAGGCCTGCACCACACTCCCCACCTCCCCACACCCCGCTGCGACCTCCAGTAATTCCACAGCCTCGGACACTCAGGATCCCTCCCGTCCCGAGGAAATGCCCGCTCCCTGGAAACCGAGCCACGTCAGCTTTGCCGAGAGGCTACCGGGAAAGCTGGGCCGCCCCTACTCCAACCCCCGCTAGTAGCGCAGCCCCGGGATTCTGCCGGTCCGGGTTACCCATCATGCCCCGCCTGTGGGTCCAATCCGCGCCTCCGGCCAGGAAAAAGGGGAACCGAACCGGGCACGGCTGGCTGTACGCATGCGTCAGGGCCCAACGTGGACTTGCGTTACCTCTATCTCTTGGCGCCCTGGACGCAGCGCCCTCTTCCGGTAAGGCGGAAGCAATGAGTCGAAGAGCATCTTCGGCCACCGCCCAGGTCTTCGGGCTTCTCCAGTACTCTGCATCCGCTGCCTCTCAGTACAAGCTGCACTTGAGTCTTTCAGTCATGGCCCCATGGTATATAACCTACAGCCAACTCTATCTTCTTTGACATTTATGCCATCTCTAGTATACGTTCCTCAGACCTTCTTGCCTCACTCTAATTACTTCAACATCTCCCGCAGACTTGCCCAACCGGCAATGTAGAGCTCCCAACCTAGAACTCATCTTTCTCTGAAGCTAGCTTCTTGCTTTATATGAGTATGATCAGGAGTCAATGAAGAATTCTAATATAAGGAATGGAGCCTCACTCAAATACACTTCCATGCTACCCATCACCTAGACCGCCTTTCGAGAACCACGTGGGAAGAATTATTTCCCACCCCCTACTTCGACCGGCGCTGTTCCAGGCTGGCCCCTGGAGCATGCGCAGTGACACCTTACCCCCACCCCTCCCTATACCCCACCCGGTTCCTGCATTAAGCCCCGGGTTCGCAGCAGCAACCAGAATCGGGCACCCGGGGGCGGGCGGGCACTGTAGGGCCATGGCTGAGGGTGAGGATATGCAGACCTTCACTTCCATCATGGATGCACTAGTCCGCATCAGTGTGAGTTAAGGTGGGGTGAGGGGAAGGGAGGGGGCGTAGAGGGGTCGGGGCAAGCCAGATCCTTGAACAGGTGGGGATACAGGAAGACGTTGGAATGTAGAGAAGGGGCTAGTTAAGACGGAAATGACGGGGAGGGCCAAGATGCAGGTATGGCAGGTATCCTGGGGACAGTTGAGTGTTGAGTGCCCTAAAGACTTATTTGCTGGGGTGTGGGCAGCGAGAAGCTGCCTGGACGCAGCGGGTAGGCTGGGGTAGCCGCCAGCAGTACACCAAGGCTTTGAGAAGGGGACATGTGTGAGCCTGGATGCTTTCCCAAAAAACTGAGGACAGGTGGGGGGATGATGAAAGAGCCGCCCCGGGATGCAGTTCCCAATTTGGACCCCTCCCCGACACCCCACCCTACAGAACCCCCCAACTTAGGGCTGCCTCGCAGCCTGTGGTTGTCATGGCAACCCGTGCCCGTCTCTCCCAGGGGCGGTGCCAACCCTACTCCCCCCCACCACTTCCTTCCCCCTCCCTCCCTGTCCCTCCCTCCTTTGTGTCAGCTGCGCCCCTGACCGGGATGGCTGCGAAGAGAGGGACCAAGGTGAGGTGTGGGGGTGGGGAATAGCCTGAGGACCCCTCACCAAATGGGGAGGGATACTTCCGGTGGGGAGGGGGCAAGTAGGCGGGGCGCTCCCTCCCGCCCCCCAGGTTGGGCGAAGGGTTGCTACTGGCCGAGTTTCTGCAGCAGAGCTGGAGGATAGGAGGCGAAGAGGAATGAGTTGCTATCTGGAGACCGGAGGAAATAAATGGAGAAGTGAAGGATGGATGAGGATGCGGGCTGGGGCAGCGGGCTGGCACTGTGTCGGAGAGCTAGCGGAACCTGGCCTTGAAGAACAGTCACGCGTCTGAGGGTTGCTACAGAAGGGGGTGGGGGACAGCACCCAGCTGTAGAATGGGTGGTGCCCTTGAGATAAATGCCAGGAGCAGGCAACCCAGACATGGAGGGATAGAGACAGGTGAGGAGGGAGGGCCGCCTGCCGGCACTGCTGCAGTAAGAGTGATGGGGGTGGGGCTTGATTCTGGGGCAGGCCAGAGTTCCAACCATCCCTTCTTGGTGGACCTTTAGCCCTACAAGAAGAAAATAGAAACGAGATGGTCAGCTGGGAAGTTGTGTGAACCAGACCAAGGCAGGTGCTGAGCAACAGCAGTAGGTAGCTTGTTTTGCCCCTTTCTGACAAGCCAAGGGGCGTTCTGAGATATGCCCAAGTGTCCAAGCTCTCACATAACCTCCTGGTCCCTCCACAGACAAGCATGAAGAACATGGAGAAGGAACTGCTGTGCCCAGTGTGTCAAGAGATGTACAAACAGCCACTAGTGCTGCCTTGCACCCACAACGTGTGCCAGGCCTGCGCCCGGGAGGTGTTGGGCCAGCAGGGGTACATAGGCCACGGTGGGGACCCCAGTTCGGAGCCCACTTCTCCTGCTTCCACCCCTTCTACCCGCAGCCCCCGCCTCTCCCGGAGAACTCTCCCCAAGCCAGATCGCTTGGACCGGCTCCTTAAGTCAGGTGGGGCTGGGGCCTGTGGAATGGGATGGTGGGAATGCAGGGCTGCCCATCAAAAATATGGAAGAGAGTCAATCATTGGTCAGGGGCATCTGTCTGCCTTTGAGGGGGAGGGATACTGTTTTTCTAATGAGAGCTGAGCTCTAACACAAAAATCTACTTTTTAATTGAATCGGCTTCACCCACCCTCGGCCTGTTATAACTCCCACCTTCTTTACCTCCTGGGTCTATCCACAGGCTTTGGGACATATCCCGGGCGCAAGCGAGGTGCCTTGCACCCCCAGACGATCATATTCCCATGCCCAGCCTGCCAGGGAGATGTGGAGCTGGGGGAGCGGGGCCTTTCTGGGCTTTTCCGGAACCTGACCCTAGAGCGCGTGGTGGAGCGGTACCGGCAGAGTGTGAGTGTGGGAGGCGCCATCCTGTGCCAGTTGTGCAAGCCCCCACCACTAGAGGCCACTAAGGGCTGCACAGAGTGTCGAGCTACTTTCTGCAATGAATGCTTCAAGCTCTTCCACCCCTGGGGTACTCAGAAGGCCCAGCATGAGCCCACCCTGCCTACCCTCTCCTTCCGCCCCAAGGTGAGCCAGTCTTTGCAGGGTTTGGAGTGGGAGGGGAATGGTGGTTCTGAGCCAGTGGGTTTGGGGCACCTGGCATTTCGGCTTCCAAAAGGTGGTAGGTGGGGGGGCTGGTTCTCCCCCCCTTTGTGTGTGTGTGTGTGTGTGTGTGTGTGTGTGTGTGTGTGCACCTGCGTGCTTAAACTCAAGGCAGTCCCCCTGCTTCAGCTTCCCGAGTACTGGAACACAGGCATACAGCACCATGTCTAGTTGCCAGGCAGCCCCCTTCCCTGGAACAGCCATTGAACAATTCATTCAAGATCTATAGGCCTCCCCATCTCACCTGCTGCACAGAAATTAGAGTGTCTAGCTGTAATATCCCTTCCTGCAAGATTGTTGATAGGATCACAGAAGATGTTTGTTGCCTAAAAAGTGTTATCTGGCCAAGCATGGTAGCACATGCCTGAATTCCCGGCATTTGGAAGACTGAATCAGGAAGAGGTTTGAGAGGTCAAGGCCAGCATAGGATACATAGTCAGACTATCTCAAAAAAAAAAAAAAAAATTGTATGTAGAATGCTATTTTAGGAATCAGGAAAACAGCAGTGAAAAAATAAATAAGGTTGATTGTGAGCCACAGGCTTAATAATCATCATTGTTGTTGTTAACTACTGCATATCAGGGTAAAGCAGATGGAGGAGCAATGCTAGGGAGCAATGGACATTGCCTGGACCTTGGGGAAGGAGGGGAGGGCGCTTAATGCCAGTGACCACCACTAGGTGGTGCTATGTATCAAAACCTGCTAGTTCTCCCTTCACACCTGGAGGGAGGGCACCCAACTGCTCTAGTGGTAGGTCAACATCCTTCCTTACACCATTGGGTATCTCATTATCCTTTGTATCTCTAGGGTCTGATGTGCCCAGACCACAAGGAAGAGGTGACCCACTACTGTAAGACGTGTCAACGGCTGGTGTGCCAACTCTGCAGGGTGCGGCGCACCCACAGTGGGCACAAGATCACACCAGTGCTCAGTGCCTACCAGGCCCTCAAGGTAAAGACCCCTGCTTACTCAGCCCCAATGCACACACACACACACACACACACACACACACACACACACACATACACCTAATTGCTGGCTTCTACAAAATCAGGCATAATGCCCATTTTTTTTCTTTTTTCTTAGGATAAGCTGACAAAGAGCCTGACATACATCTTGGGAAACCAGGACACAGTACAGACCCAGATTTGTGAGCTAGAAGAAACTATCAGGCACACTGAGGTGAGGAAAGGCATGGAGGTCTGCTAGGGCCCTGCTTGGGGTTGGGGTCAGGAAGAGCATATGGGTGGGCATGTCCCCATCACCTTGTTGCCAGCTCAGGAAGCCCATGAGGAGAGTATGTGTACAGAGGTGAAGCTTTTGGTTAAACTTGGTTGGCAAGAACCAACCTGTGGCCTGGGTTAGACTCTAGCTGGGACTGCAGTGGGGGTAGGTGGCTGTAGCTGGTGACTAAGGAGCTCAGATGTCCTTAGACTCAGCAGAGCAGACATCCTGGAGCTAAGGGGAGGTGAGGTGAGGCTTAGACATCTTCTGCTGGTTGTCTGAATCAACTAACAGGAATGGACAATAAAGATAGCGTAGCCACCAGTGGTCAACAACTAGTGCAGTCCAAGTGGATATTCATGCAGCATGATCTTCCTTATTTGGGTAAGACCTTAAAAGATTAAAACTATGAAAGAGCTAAGGCAAAACATGACCAATCAGCATATTGGTTATTTCAAGTAGAAGTCACTTGAGGAACTGTGGCTTCAGAAAAGGCCATTTGCTTTGTGTTTTCTGACATGCAGCAAGCCATAAGGATTCTTTGGGGAGGCTATCCTTCACACACCAAGGTCCCAAACAATCTTGATCACCACTGGTAACTGGGGCTACAATGGACTGGGATAACAAACTCTTTAAAGTAACACTTATCTTCCACTAGCTTCTAGCCCAATTATCTCTTAACAATATTGCTAGAATTTACTATCTGATCCGGATATCTATTTATCTTTTCATTTCTTCTGCACATTTCTCTGGAGGTAGGAGTACAGTTCAATGGTGGAGCATGTGCATAGCATGTGTGAGTCCCTGGGTTCCAGCCCCAGTAGCCCCCACTCCATCAAAAAATGCAAATGCATCATTCTTTAACCTGGGCATGGTGGCGCATGCCTTTATCCCTGCACTTGGGAGGCAAAGGCAGATGGAGCTCTGTAGGTTTGAGGCCAGCCTGATCTACATAGTGAATTCTAGGCCAGCTGGGACTACAGGGAGACCCTGTCTCAAAAAAAAAACAACAAAATTTTTTTTTAAGCTGGGCATAGTGGCTCACACTGTAATCCCAGCACTGGGAAGACTGAAGAAGGAGGATCAGGAGTTCAAGGCCATCCTCCCATATATAGCAAATTCCAGGCCAGCTCAGGCTACATGAGACCCTTCTCCAAAAAACAAAGTTTCAAAACATCATATTTTGTCACTTCTTTGAGTTTCATCCTCTTATAAAGATCTATTAGGAGCCAGGTGTGGTGGTACCTTCCTTTAATCCCAACACTCAGAAGGCAGAGGCAGGTGGATGTCTAGTAGTTTGAGGCCAGCCTGGTCTACATAGTTAAACAGATAGGGCTATGCAGTGAGACCCTATCTCAAAAAACGAAGCAAACAAATCCCCAAGTAAGTATAAAATTAATAGAACTTTTTGTGCTTTTCTCCTATATTATTTGGTTTCCTAGATCCAGCCAAAATTGGGGAAACAGAATGGGCCTCTCTCTTGCCTACAGTTATGACGTGAGCATTCAGAGAATTTAGCACAAATGGTCAGGAGCTGAGCCCATTTGTGGTACAGGTGCCTTGGCAGTCATGAGTCTGACCCAGTTGAGATGGACAGATAGAATTTCCCCAAATTCCCTGGAATCCTAGCTGTGGTGTGGTGTGACATCCTAGGAGGCTGGCACAGATGCTGCCTCAAAGAAGATAGTAAAGACAGTAAGTCTTGCATCCTTTGGGTGTTGCTCCCTGGACAGGTGAGTGGTCAGCAGGCGAAGGAAGAGGTGTCACAGCTTGTTCGAGGGCTAGGGGCTGTGCTGGAAGAGAAGCGGGCCTCACTGCTTCAGGCCATTGAGGAGTGCCAGCAGGAGCGATTGGCCCGGCTCAGCGCCCAGATCCAGGAGCACCGAAGCCTGCTGGATGGCTCGGGTCTGGTGGGTTATGCCCAGGAAGTTCTTAAGGAAACAGACCAGCCGTGTTTTGTGCAAGCAGCCAAGCAGCTGCACAACAGGTACAGTGGTGCAGGCTGTTGGGAGGTGGGGCATCCTGGGTGTAGTGAATGCCTAGGACAATGGCTAGAATACTGCCAGGTGGCGAGCTGGAGCCCTGAGGATTTTCATGAGGCCTAACTGGTAGCCAGCTTCTAAGGAGTGAGTTAGAGACCGGAAGCAGAGGCCAAGGTTCAAGGGACTGGCGAGGCAGAATTCAGGGGAGGGGCTGCTGCCTACCTGGCAGTGCCTGACCCTTTCCTGCCCCCACTGCAGGATTGCCCGAGCCACTGAAGCCCTCCAGACATTCGGGCCAGCTGCCAGCTCCTCTTTCCGCCATTGCCAGCTGGATGTGGGGCGTGAAATGAAGCTGCTAACAGAGCTTAACTTCCTGAGAGGTAAGGAGATAGCCAGGCCCATGTCCAACCAGAACCTTCTTCCCTTCCTCCCCAGCAGCGGGCCCGGGGGGCAGTGCCCACCAGGGACCTCCCGGCCTCCTGCCTGGCCTGGCCAGCCACTCCTCCCACCCAGCCAACCCTGCCACACCGTCCTACCGCGCTCAGCGCTGCTTCTCCCTCTCTCTTTGTAGGCTGTGGCCACCGCGGACTCTGCTCCGGAGCACCCCAGGCAAGTCAGTAGCCCTGCCCTGGGGGCCCTGCCACCCGCCGGGCCCCCTCCCCACAGCCCTACCTGTGCTCCCACACAGTTTGGCCAGACACATATTGCTTCCCTCTCTCCTACCCTACCTTGAATTCCTGGTCCCCGCACTTCACAAATGCCCTCCTGGTCCTTCTGAGCTTTCATTATCTTGACACTTTCATTCTCTTCCTCTTGCCTCCACACACTGCTCTGCCCTACTTACTAGCAAGCCTGCCCTCCTGCTGTCTCTCCATTTTCTGCCTTGCTGACTCTGGTATTTCCCAACCCTTCTGCCTCCCTTCCTGCTCAGGGCTCTCTTGCCTGGGTTCCAGTGGCCTTTATCTGTCTTGTCCTGGGGCTCCTCTTGACTTATAGAACTTAGCCTGTAAAGGCCCTCAGAACTCATTTGGTCTGATACTATCCTTTGAGGAGGAAACTGAGGCCCAGAGTACAATAGTGGCAGACCAAGACCATAGCTCCGGCCCCAAAGTTCTCTGCCCTGCCTCTGCCCAGCCCTCTCCCATCTCTTTCTCCTTTGGGCCCTGCCCATCCAGTGCCTAGAAGGTTCCTTTCCCCAGCTCCCTCACCTACACTCACCCCCCGGCTCCCGCTGCTTCCCCTTTCCTGCCTGCCCTGCTATCCATACCAGTCCAGTGGCCGGTCCCTGACTGACCCCCATTGTCTTTTCCAACAGTGCCCGAGGCGCCTGTTATTGACACCCAGCGTACCTTTGCATATGATCAAATCTTCCTATGCTGGCGGCTGCCCCCACACTCACCACCTGCCTGGCACTACACTGTTGAGTTTCGGCGCACAGATGTACCTGCCCAGCCAGGTCCTACACGCTGGCAACGGCGGGAGGAGGTGAGGGGCACCAGCGCCCTTCTTGAGAATCCTGACACGGGCTCTGTGTATGTGCTGCGTGTCCGTGGTTGCAACAAAGCTGGCTATGGGGAGTATAGTGAAGATGTGCACCTGCACACGCCCCCAGCACCTGGTGAGTAAACAGGCAAGTGGCATCATGTGGTGAACACAGATTCTCATGCAGAGGATATGGGATGCTGGGCCCAGGTACTCAGCTAGTTCCTGATGGGCACTGGAAGAGCAGTTTAATACAGTCAACCACGTGCATTCCCTCTGAAGCTAGACTGCCTAGGTTCAAATCCCACCTTTGTCCCTTGCCAACTGTGTCTTTAGCCAAGTTTTTCTCCCTGTCTGAACTTCAGAGTTCTCTTCTACACAGGTAATACTTCATAGAGTTAAGAATAAAACGGTTATGAGAAGAATGTGTAAAGACTTAGCAGTTTCTGACTCATAGTAAGGGCTCAATCAATATAATGTCTAGGAGGAAGTGGCTTACAGAGTGTGTTCACCACTCAAGTAAGGGTTGGGTGTAGGATCCAGGTATGAATTCCAGAGAGTAGACTGTAAGGTCCAGGTCAGTGGTGGTAGGAATGTCACCAAGTCGAACAGACCAACAGTGGGGACTGTCCACAGGGTCAAACATAGAAAACAGGTTGCAGAATTATTCAGTCAACCAGGGATGAGGCACTGATTTCTGTGCCCATTAGTCAGCACTATAGCTCACTCAGATTTTCCCAAGGTCCCATGCCCATTTGGGATGCACTTTTTTTCTGTTATGCCCCCATTTCAGTTCCCCAGGCCCTGTTCCACTGAGTTTCTACCTGTTCCTAGTGACAGAACCCCTTGACAACTTGCTCCCTGTTCCAAAAACTCAGAGTGTTTGTGATAACACCTCACAATCCCCAGTGCCAGTGTCTGGTCCTGAAGTCCTTCTGTCTTAACCCTCCTCCCAATTCCAGTCCTGCACTTCTTCCTTGATGGCCGCTGGGGCGCAAGCCGAGAGCGGCTGGCCATCAGCAAGGACCAGCGAGCGGTTCGGAGTATTCCAGGGCTTCCCCTGCTGCTGGCTGCTGAGAGACTGCTCACAGGCTGCCATCTGAGCGTGGACGTGGTCCTGGGTGATGTGGCTGTGACCCAGGGCCGTAGCTACTGGGCCTGTGCTGTAGACCCTGCCTCCTACTTGGTCAAGGTGGGCGTTGGGCTGGAGAGCAAGCTTCAGGAAAGCTTCCAAGGTGCTCCGGATGTGATCAGCCCCAGGTCAGGCCCTTCTGCAAGGGGTGGGGAATGGAGTTCCTGGGTGGAACTAGGGTTGGCTGGGGCAGCATGGGTTACACAGACTTGCTGAGGTGGGGCTGGGGAGAGGACAGAAGGAAGTAGCTTGGCAGCCAGACTAGGAGGCTTGGAGCTGGAAGAAATGTGGGCTCAGTAGGCAGGGCTTTGAGAACTGATTTTCAAAGTGTATAGTTGGGGAAAGGGTTGACAGAAAACAGAGCCATTACCTCTTCCTTCCATCTGTCACTCAGGACCAGTATACCACCTGTCCAAGCCCCCATGTCCTTTCTCCCTAGCACCCTATTTCCTGCCTTTCTCCATGAAAAATTTTCTTGACATCACAAAGTTCTTTTAAACACATCGTCAGAACCCTCCTTGCCCCACTTCCTCCTTAACACCATCCCACATCAATTTCTCTCCTCAACCCTTCTCCCCAGTCCTTCATCCTTCAATACCTCACTTCTTCAAAATGCTTTTTCTTCATCACAAACTCCTTTTGGAACCCTGTTGTCCCCATTCCTTCATCCCTCCAACCTCCAGGACACCAATCCATCCTCAGTTCTCTCTCAACACCACTTTCCCAGCCTCCTTTCATTGCTCCTGTCCCCTCCCCACTGCATCTTAATCACTGTGCTCTCCTTCTTCCAATGTCCCCAGCGGTCCCCTAACCTGATTTCCCCAGCACCGCTTTTCCTCAAGGTTTTCCTGCCTTGACAAGTCCTACATCTCCTCAGTGCGCTGCATTACTACCTTGTCTTTCCTGCCCTGAAATACCTCCTTTCCTGATGCTTTTTCTTTTAGTGCTCCTTCCCCACTCAAACTGAGACCTCAACCCTATACTCTAACCCCTGCCTCCCCAACATGTGTTCACCTCAATACCCTGCAACCTCTTGTTCCCCAACATTCCATCCTTTCAGCATTTCAGCTCCCTGATCCTTCCCCCAAATTCCCTTACTTCACCTCCCAACATCCTCCTACCCAACTTCCACTCCTACAGGTATGACCCAGACAGCGGGCATGACAGCGGTGCTGAGGATGCCACAGTGGAGGCGTTGCCACCCTTTGCTTTCCTAACCATTGGCATGGGCAAGATCCTGCTGGGTTCCGGAGCGAGCTCAAATGCAGGACTGACAGGGAGGGATGGCCCAGCAGCCAGCTGCACAGTGCCCTTGCCACCCCGCCTGGGCATCTGCTTGGACTACGAGCGGGGCCGGGTTTCCTTCCTGGATGCTGTGTCCTTCCGTGGGCTCCTGGAGTGCCCCCTGGACTGCTCAGGGCCTGTGTGCCCTGCCTTCTGCTTCATTGGAGGTGGGGCAGTACAGCTGCAGGAGCCTGTGGGCACCAAGCCTGAGAGGAAAGTCACCATTGGGGGCTTTGCCAAGCTGGACTGAGCCCTTCAGGCCCCTCTTCCAGACCTAAGCCCTACCCTACCCCCACAGCCGCCTGGCAGAGGGTTGTTTACCCTGCAGCTTCTCCCACAAACTTCCTCCCGTGTGGTCCTGCTCCTTACCTTTTCCAGCTGTGTCTTCCCAGGGCTTCCTTTGACCAAGGGGCTCTCCTCTGCTCACCTCTGGATGTCCTCCACTCTCTCTTTTGACTATTGGCCAGACCCCTATGCCCACCAAGTTTCTGTCCCATACCCTGCCCTTGGTATCTGAACTAAGGCATAGAGAGAACTCCAATCCCATCCTTGTCCTGTGCCCCCAAGGCTTATTGGGATGGAGGGCACTTGGAACAGTGGGCGTGATTGCCAGCTCTGCCCTTTGACTTGCCAAGCTCACTGTCCCATTAATGCTGAATGAATGCCTCAGCAACTAGGCTTTGGGCCTCCCTAGTGAGAGGGAGGAGAATCTAACCTCTTCATTATTTGGGTCCCCATACCCCACAGCAGCATGTCCCTTATGCCCCTCTTCTCCTGCATGCTTTACCTGTCCTGCACCTGTGCCAATGTGCCAAGTCTCCCTTGGGAACCCAGCCGAGGCTGGTGTCCCCAACTGGGTTGGGCCAGGCAAGGCCTCTGCTGCCTTCTGCTGCTTTCTTGCAGTGGGCATTGCTAGGCCTGTGCCAAGCAACAGCTGTAATTTTCATGGTTTATAAACAATAAACTGTGACACCAGGCATATTTCTGCCTTCCCTGAATGTGACCATTCCTGGTAGTTTCTGTTCCCGCATGGGGATGGTGCCTAAGGCAAGAAGGTCTCTAAGTCAGTTTCTCCCAGGCTCCTCCTACACCTAAGGCCCAGGCCCTAGCTGAGTATAGCCGCTAGGGTGTGCAGCATTCATTAGCTGTTGGCATGGAGCCTCAGATAGGGCTTCCAGACCACAACACCAGACCCTGGAGGAGTGTAGCTGAGGGCATGGGCACTGTGCCTGGGCCCAAAGGGGTCAGGGAACTAGAACCACTTCCCCATTCTCAGGGTGCCAGAGAGCCCACCCCAGAGGCAGCGGCAGGTGGGGCAGTGGAGGACCAGGGCCTGGTGCCAGCTGTACCCGGATCTGACCCAGCCCCCGCTTATCTTGGCTATGTTGACTCTGCCACTGTTATCTGTTGCCCAAGGATTTACTTCACACCCAGACAGCTAAGAATAGAGCTGCCTTGGGGGCACTGTGCCAGCCAGAGAGGCAGGTTGGGCTAGCCCAAGAGAAACTCAGACCTGGGAGAGCAGACATCCGTGGCCACATGGGCAGAGGCAAAGTCACAAAGGCCCACTGGAGTCTGCCTCGGTTTCATTTCCTCCTTCCTCCAGGGCTGCTAGGGATGGAGGAGAGGTGATTCCTGTGTTCTTTCACAGGTCACCTCTGTGTCCCTGTGTCACCTCTTCCTCATCGCTTTTCAAAGGAACCCACCCCCTCCTTGCCTCCTTTCCAAAGACCCCCTCCAGGCCCCTCACAGATACACTCTCTGACTGCCCCTCTTACCCATGAGTCACAGATGAAGGATCACAAATTGGCATAATGAGAGGCCACCTTTTATTCAGCCACGTTTGGGTTCCCACCCACATTTCTAGGCCTTCTAGTCTTTCTGGGAGCCACCAATGCACCAGTGTATCCCCCTTGGCAAGGCTGGGCTTCACCAGGTTAAGGTTGAGGCGCTTGACACCCTCTGAGAGAGGCAGTGAGCAGCCCACCTGAACTTCCAGCTCACCAGCCCAGATCAGAGTGCAGAGGGTCCGTCTGGCAGTGAAGAACCTGAGGGAGAAGACTGACCCCTGAGCTGGTGACATACCCCTACAAGTTGGCAGAAGTGGTTGCCACTGTTGGGTTCGCGTAAGAGAGGCTGCTGCCACCGTTACCTGCAGAAACCTGAGTGGAGGGAAAAAGATTCCGGGATGAAGGGCAGAACGTAATTGGTAGAGCCCCTGGTTGGCACCCCAGGCTAGGGTAATAGATCCTGGGGCCTAGCCAGTTCTAAAAGGGTTAATTCAGTCTGTGCACCTGCTGGGCCCCAGAGCAGCCAGGTGACTGTAAACACACACAGCTCCTCTACTGCTCCCCTCCCCTCCCCTGGACTGTACCCAGCCCCCTTGCAGGCCCCTCCTGACCCCTTTCTCCTTCCATTATTTGCTTTTCTGGCTCAAGGGCTGGTGTGTGTATGTGTGTGAAACTGGGAGAGGAAGAGATACCCAAGAGGAGAAACAGGGCAAGAAAAAGAAACTCTTGTCTCCTTTCACACCCAGTGACTTTCAGGTCCCAGGTGGCCACTGTAATTATTTACTAGATCCTGTGGAGAAGGCGGGATGAAGAAAGAGGGAGAGGTTCTTGCTTTGAGACTCTCAAGAACTCCCTCAACACACTCACCTGGCTTATAGAAACTTCTTCCTTTCCACCCAAACTTCCCCGCCCCTACTCAAGCTTTATCTACTTCCATCTCCTAGAAGGTAGGTGGGGCACAAATGACTGCAGGAAGGGCTCCCTTGGTCACAGTACCCACCCCCTGCCACCTCTGAGCATCCTAGTGAGTACACCCTGGTGCCAGTTCGGTCAATGGTAGAAATTAAGGCTTTGGGGGGAAGGTTAGTAGTGGAGACACTCCCTCCTAAGGACCCCTTTCTTCTGTAATCTCCCTAGGTCTGCCCCTTGCCCCCAAACTCTGACCTCCACTCCCAATCTTGCCAAGCCCAGCCTTCCACTGCTCATCTCTCCGGAGCTCTGGGTTTTCCAAGTATCCTTGCAGAAACCCCACCCAGCCAGAGCCCCTGCCTCCACCTGTGGGGCCCAGCCTCACCTCCTCATAGGGGCTACGTTTGGTACTTCCAGGGGGCTCATAGCGCCCATGAGTGTGGTAGGTAGGATATTCACTCATAGGATGGTAGGTGTCCCGGGTTGGAAAGATGTCCAGCTGTCCATAGTTCTTTCGGCGGCACTGACACACAGCCTGGGGAGACAGGAGATTATGCTGGTCCATGGGATTCCTTCTACCAGGGGTACTGCGGTGAAAGCCCGAGACTTACCAGTGCAATGAAATAGATGATGGCCAGTGCAACCAAAACACAGACCAGCACTAGCAGGGCAATACCCCAGCCTGGTACCCCAGACCCAGATTGGGCAGAGGAAGGGTACAGCATCTCATTCACTAAAAGAGAGAGCAATGGTAAGAGAAGTCAGGAGGTGGGCTTCTCCCTGGCAAGCTCTAGAATCCAGCACTGGAGGAAGAGAGGCTCTACATGGTGCTGGGCTGCATCTGGGGACATGGCCTCACCACTGATTTTTGAGATAGCCAGATTATAGTCTGCTGCCTCCGTTTGATGCTGAATAAGTTGTGACTTCACCTCAGAGGCACTGACGACACCCTCACGGAAAAGCACTGTCGATTGTACTATCACAGAGCCTGACCTGGTCACAGGAAAGGGGCAGTTTAGCCACCGGTCCCTGCTTCTGGCATGGGCATTCCCACAAAACACAAAGGCTCTCTGGTCCCTTCCCACAGCTTGAAAATACCCCCCTACCCCAAGTCCTGCCCAGAATTGTACCTGAACTTGATAGTAGAGAACCCCAGAAAATCATGGTTAAAAATCTGTAGAAACTGGGATGAGAAGGAAAAGATTCAGGCTTGATGCAAAGGATTCATGCAGTTCTGAATGCTACTTCAGGAGAGCATGGCAGAAACCAGGCAGACACCCACCAGTCCAGAAATGTTCCTCTTCAGTTCTTGATAGTAGTTGGTGCTGGGATCTTCCAGGGAAGAATTAAACTGGTGGTTCCAAATATAAAAAGACAAAAAGAAGACAGAGACCCCAACAGACAACTGGGGAGAAGAACTATTATTGGAGAAGGTAGGGGGAAATACTGTGCTATGGTGAGTGCTACTGGCAACAGAGCTGTTGCCAGCAAGCACGGTAGGAGACCATTGGCTGGGAAGTGAAGTACCACCTGGGGTTTCAGTAACCATTGCAGAAATGCCATTGTGGACCAGAGTGGTGGCTGATTCCTTCTCAGAGCTGGTGGTAGGGTTGTCGGTGCCACGGTGGGCCAGAGGGGTGGCTGATTCGGTCACAGAGCTGGTAGTAGGGGTGGCTGATTCCGACGCAGAGCTGGTGGTAGGGGTGTCAGTGCCACGGTGGGCTGGAGAGGTGGCTGATTACAACGCAGAGCTGGTGGTGGGGGTGTAGGAGCCACGGTGGGCCGGAGGGGTGGCTGATTCCGACCCAGAGCTGGTGGTAGGGGTGTCAGTGCCACGGTGGGCTGGAGAGGTGGCTGATTACAACGCAGAGCTGGTGGTGGGGGTGTAGGAGCCACGGTGGGCCGGAGGGGTGGCTGATTCCGACCCAGAGCTGGTGGTAGGGGTGTCAGTGCCACGGTGGGCTGGAGAGGTGGCTGATTACAACGCAGAGCTGGTGGTGGGGGTGTAGGAGCCACGGTGGGCCGGAGGGGTGGCTGATTCCGACCCAGAGCTGGTGGTAGGGGTGTCAGTGCCACGGTGGGCTGGAGAGGTGGCTGATTACAACGCAGAGCTGGTGGTGGGGGTGTAGGAGCCACGGTGGGCCGGAGGGGTGGCTGATTCCGACCCAGAGCTGGTGGTAGGGGTGTCAGTGCCACGGTGGGCTGGAGAGGTGGCTGATTACAACGCAGAGCTGGTGGTGGGGGTGTAGGAGCCACGGTGGGCCGGAGGGGTGGCTGATTCAGTAGCAGAGCTGGTGGTAGGGGTGTCAGTGCCACGGTGGGCTGGAGAGGTGGCTGATTCCAACGCAGAGCTGGTGGTAGGGGTGTAGGTGCCACGGTGGGCCGGAGGGGTGGCTGATTCTGACTCAGAGCTGGTGGTAGGGGTGTCGGTGCCATGGTGGGCCGGAGGGGTGGCTGATTCAGTAGCAGAGCTGGTGGTAGGGGTGTCAGTGCCATGGTGGGCTGGAGAGGTGGCTGATTCCAACGCAGAGCTGGTGGTAGGGGTGGTTGATTCCGACGCAGAACTGGTGGTAGGGATGGCTGATTCTGACACAGAGCTGGTGGTAGGGGTGTCGGTGCCACGGTGGGCTGGAGGGGTGGCTGATTCTGACGCAGAGCTGGTGGTAGGGGTGTCGGTGCCACCGTGGGCCGGAGGGGTGGCTGATTCAGTTGCAGAGCTGGTGGTAGGGATGGCTGATTCGGTCGCAGAGCTGGTGGTAGGGGTGGCGGTGCCACTGTGGGCTGGAGTCAACAAGGTTAAGGAACGCTTGATGTCCTGAGATAAAGTGACACTATTCTGACATGGAAGGGCAAGAGAGCCTGAACTAGGGGTGAAAGTGGGGAATAAGCTGTTAACTATGCTCACAACACCTTTCTCCACAGGGTTGCACACTGGGCTACTTTGAGTAGCTTAAATGTTTTTTGGCTTTGGCTAGAGCCAGAAGTTGTAAAGATGATTGCTTGGAAGGCAAAATCAAAGCAAGAAGAAACATACAAAGTATTTAAAAGCAAGATAACCCCAGGGGGAAAGAGGATTGGGTTTGCCTTCCTCCTTGCTGACAGCCTCCCTCTCTCTGTCTTTCCACAAGTCTCACCTCTGCTTCTGGCTGATTCATTCCACTGCTACTTGTTTTTGAGACAGGGTCTCATATTGTAGTGCAGGTGGGCCTTCAATTCTTTGCAATCCTCCTGCTTCCATCTCCTGAGTGCTGGGATTATAGACTTATACCACCATACTTGGCCCCATTCCTCTACACCTCAATCACCTCTCCTGACACCCCCACCCCCACACAACTTCAGGATATTTGTCTACTACCATAACCCACTCTCCTGGGGCTCCCCTCTTCTCAGCCTTGTCCTTAGCCTGCCTTTCTTTCTTTCTTTCTTTCTTTCTTTCTTTCTTTCTTTCTTTCTTTCTTTCTTCCTTTCTTTCTTTCTCTTTCTCCTTTCTTTCCTTTCTTTCTTTCTGGTACAAATCAGGCCATCCCTGTCTGCAATTTCTGACTCTCATAGTACCATCTACCAGTAAGCAAAGCCAGGAATGCCACCTGAGCAGAGCAGCTCCCTCCCCATCTCTTTCTTCTCACCTGTTACAAACACTAGAAGTAGCAGCAGGAAGAAAGAAGCCTGGATGCCTGGTGTCATGATGGCGGCAAGCAGGCAGGCGACAAGGGGGCAGAACAGACTTAAGCTGGTGCTGCCTGTGCAGTGGCCTGGCACTGGTGCCTGCTGCTTTATACCAGTCCCCCTACCGCCCTAGGCACAGCTAGAGCAGGTGACAGGTAACAAAACTCCGCCCCCTCCCCTATCTTTTCCTCCTCCTCCCCAACCATTCCCTGGGTATGATACTTGGGCTCCAATCACTCAACCTTATGACAACATGTTTATTCTCCAACTGGCCTCCCCCTTTTACCAACCACTCCCTGATTCCACCAGGTGTGTATGTGGTGATGAGGGGAGAATCTGCGGCCCCCTGGCTCTGGTTTTAGCCCCAGGTCTACAGCCAAAGCGAGGAAAGGGAGCACAGAAAGGACCTAGACTGCAAGGCCAGGAAGCCCACCCCTAGGTTTCCAGTCTCTTTCCCTATTATCCGTGGGTCCTTTGAAACCTCACTCGGCAGGCTGAGAAGAAATAAGAGAGCTTGACAAAAAGTGGCCAAGTGGCCAGTTTTAGACTCCCTTCCCCCACACTTCCCGGAATAGCCCCACCCTTCTAACCGTTCCACATGAAGTTCTACCCTGAAACCCACAGTCTCCGCCCCTGCTGGACTTTCCAGTAGCTTGGGTCCTTCTTTGGCTTTTTCCCGAATAGGGGGAGAGGGGAAATTTCCACTTAAAAAGAAGGACGAAACTTGGGCTCCACTGAAGCTTAAGGTCCTTCCTTCCCAACAACCCTCCACCTTGAGTGGCAGTTAGCCGGGCCCTGGCCGCGAAAGCCTGCCCTCTAGTGGTCAACCGCGAACCTCGCTTGGCCGACCCTCACCCGAGACGGGCTGAGACAGAGTGGAGAGAAGATAAGCGTGGGGACAGATAGGGAGGAACCTGAGGAGGTTGGTTAAGGCCTTGGCGAGAACCAGTGCCCTGGACAGACAGGGAGGAACGCGCAGTGCGGTGGAGGGGCTAGGAGCCAGTAGTTTGGGCTAACTTGGGGATGGTGTCTGCGGGTAAATGGTGAGGTTCTGAGGTATGTGGAAGGGGGCATCAAGTTCTGTGGGTGAGGACATCGGAATGTGGAAGGGGGAGTGGGACAGGTTATGCGCAGGCAGGTGGATATTTAGGCGGTAGAGAGTAGGTGAGGCAACAAGGGAATTTGGAAGCACAGAGCGGTATTTGGGGAAGAATGATGTTTGGAGCAGGTAGGCACATGATGGAGGGTAAAACCCTGTGTGAGTGGGGCTGGAGAGATAGCTCAGTGGTTAAGAGCATGTAATGCTTTTGCAGAAGACCTGACCTGAGTTGGGCTCCCAGCACCCACATCTGGCGGCTCACAACCATCGGTAGCTCCAGCTCCAGGGGAATTCGACACCCCCTTCTGAATTTCCAGGGCACTTGTACTCACATGTGCGCGCGCGTGTATACACATACACACACACACACACACACACACACACAATTAAAAACCAAAATAAAAAACAAAAACCATGTGATGTGGGAGAGGTATTTTGAAGGGCATAAATAGCTAGGGGCAAAGACGCCTGAACTGAGGGTGTCAGGCCGGACCCTGGGATCGTGGGTTGTGCTGTAAACCAACAGAAGTAGTTACAACTGCAGTGGACAAACATTCTTAAGTCCCAAAGAATAGAGAATAGAAACCAACACTTCAGAAACATTTCAGAGGCGCGGTTATGGAGGGAAGCCTGGTCAGGAGGCGCGGGACCAGCGCTCCCGCCGGGTGCTGCCCCACCTCCCAGCCAGCTTTGTGAGGTGCGTAGTCCCGGAGGCGGGCACGGGGCGGAGGCGCAATCCAGGCAAGGGAAAGTACGGGTATCTAGGTGGGCGGCCCTGAACCGCAACTCCCAGAGTTGCCAGGCAACGCCCATTCAGTTTGGTTGCTGGGACACGCGTCACCATAGCAACGGCTCCGCGCCTCTCAGTCTGAGTATTTAAAGAGCAAGCGCGCGCAACGTTCCGGCGTTGGAAAGAGGCCTTCCGGAGCTCTGCGGTCTCCCCTTCTCTTCACTCCTCCCCTTTACCACCTTTTTACCACCTCTTTCACCCTTCCGGGCACCAAATCCCTGGCGTGTCTCTAAAATGAACCCAACTACCCAGAGCGTCCCTGGTCCCTGGTCCCTGCCGGCTTCAGGTGGTAGAGAACGGGATTCCGGCCCCGGGTGGGCGGGAGGGACGGGACGCGGTGCAGTGTTGTTCTTTCCCCCGCCAATATTGCACTCGTCCCGGCCTCCTGCCTCCTCGGCCCCCCGGCCTCCCCCTCGCCCCGAGCTGAGCTGCTCGGGCCACCCTGGCTTTCGATCTTTGCCGAGCTAAGATAAAATGGAGGGTCGCCTGTCGCCGCTGCCACCGTGAGTAAGTGGGGCTGGAAGGACTAGCTATCCTCCGACCTCATCCTTTACTTCACCCCATCTGGTACCTTTCCAACCCGCACCCCAAATTCAGCCCACATTTCCCTAGATCTCTCACAGCCCACCAGCCATTCTTACCCTTCAGATTCCTTCCTGTTCCCGGAAAAATCCCTAAAATAAGTAATTGCACTGATTTAGAAAACAACTGAAAGTTTATGGCAGTGTGCTGTTGTTTTTCCTGGGGTTAGTACCTTAGTAATACCCCTTGAAAATTACCCAACCCCTGCACAGTGGGGTCACTACCCTGGTGATGGGTGCCAGAGAACTGTCTGTCTGCCTGAAGGGCTGTACGTTAGACTCCAGGGTCTCCAGAATGGACCCCAAGGCCAAAGGGTCTCAAATCGGAATTCTGAATCCAGTGGCCGCCTCCTCACAACCTTCCCTGGAGCACCTGCCTCCGGAATGGCTCAAAGTCTTCAGGCACTGTGTCTGAAGAGGGAAAAGAAGTCAGGTCAGAGGATGTAGTTTTCCCAGGACATGGGTCAAGTTAATCTCAGTCTAGGGCCTCACCATTGCATCGATACTGGAGATTGGACCAAATGATGTTTTCTTGGGAAAAGCAGAATACACCAAGACGCCCCCCTCGCATGGATGTGTCAATGATAACCCCAGAATCCGCCACTAGCTGGGGACCCTCATAGAGCTTCACTCTGTATAGGAGAGAGGTATCATTTGGATAGAAGATGCCTGGGGGCATGATACCACCAACGGCCCCCCTCCTTTCCTGGGCCTGAGGGTAGGGAGGGAAGGAAGGAAAGGGGAGGGAGGGGTGCTTTTTCTCAGGCCTGGGGCCCCTAGCTCTTTGTCCAGCCCCTTTTGCATCTCAAAGCACCAGCACATTCCAAGCAAGGATTGGGTTGCTATGACGATGCGCACAATAGGCTGGGGGGTGAAGTCACCCGCTTCCCAGGCTCTAGTCCACCCCCCCTTTATCCTCTGCCCTGGTGCCCCACAGCTCTAGGCACCTTAAAGGGGAACCAACCCAGCCCCCTGATTCTGAGTTCTTGGCCTTGAGAAGTCCAGTTTCTAAGCAGATCCATTTCCCCTAACTTCCCAGGTCATCCAATGACAGATACTTGTGGGAGGGAAAATCAAAGTTGTGTAGAAAATGCTAAACTGAGAATGAGCTATGGGCCTCAGTTTGCTCTTTTGTAAATTATGGTCTCCTTCCAAAGCCAGGTGTTATTGGAGCAGGTTCTGGACATTTCAGGGGCTAGAGGTAATGCGCTCCTCCACAGATTGCTTGGGGTCTAGAGGCTACCGGGAAACTGAAAGGGCATCTAGCTCAACACCCTGGGTTTACAGAGGAGAAACAGGGTGTAGAAGAGGAATGATGAACTGAACACCTCCTCGTGGTAAGACGGGAAGTAGAGGGAATTGGCAACAGTTCTTCCCCATGGCAATAAGAAATTGAGGAGGTGGGTGTCCCTGGTGAATCCCAGCTAGCTAACCGGCATATGAAGGACTGAGACTTGCTCTCACAGGGCTTACTCCCTCTCCTCACCGAATGTAGCCAACTTGGGGCCTGTGCAGCAGCTGCCATCTATAGGAGGTCTTGTCTCGCCAGCCCACATTCCGTGGATCAGTCCACAGCAGTCGTACCTGATCAGGGGTGTGGCCAGTATGCCACAGGGCATTCCGGAGGTGCTCGCCTGGGCCAGATACTGATGTCACTGCCTGGGAGTCATTCATAAAGACAATGTTGTCAACTTCAGGACCAGGGCAAAGGGAGACAAAGGCTGGTAAGTACAGGTGGGAAAAGGAGTCAAGAGGATCAGGAGATGTCTCTGGAATCCCAAATAGCCAATCTCTAGGCCAGATGTCTGGGTAAGAAGGTTTCTAATCAGGCAGTCAGGAAGGCCCTGAGGTTGGACATGGAGATCTTTAGAAAAGTTTTCCCAGTTGGGGAAACTGGGCAGCTACCTTAAGCTGCAGCCCGGGTTGGGCCACGGCACGGAAAGGTGTGGCCTGCCAGTAGGTCTGTTCTGTTTGTTTCCACATGACCACATAGAAGCGGCCACTGTCCTGGTAACTGAAGAGGAAGCCTGCATAGTCATCATCAGTGACTGTGTTCACATGGAAAGTACCTTCAAAATCCACACCATTGAAGGCTGTATATCCTGGGTTGGGGTGGGATAAAGGTCAGGGTCAGCAAAGTTGCAGGTAGCTGAAGGTGGGGTGGGGGAGTGGGTTCACACCAAGACAACTGGGTGTGTCTTACATACCAACTGCAAGACCTGGGTCACTGTTCATAGTCTGAACAATTTCCATGCCCTGGGGTTAAGAAAAGGAAAAAGTCATGATGCATGGGAAACCCCATGGCCCCCAACTGATGGTCTGGTCTGAAAGCACCTGCCCAGCCCACTGCCCTGCATACCTGATTGAGAACAACCCAGTTTGGGTCAATCTGAGCATCACCCTCCGGATCCAGAACCACAGTCTGATAGGCCCGAAAATCTGTGAGAGTAACTTCTGCACTTTCCGGACACACATCCAGAGGGTCAACCACTGCATCATTGTCGAAATCATCTTCACACACGTCGCCAATGCCATTACCTGGGTGGAGTGAGGCTAGGTGCTCAGGAAAGGCCCTAGCCAAAAGCTGCTGGCCAAAACCCTCACCTCCGGGATTTTGCATTCCTGAAACCTACCCCTCCCTTTTTCCATTCCCCATTCTCATGCAGCAGTGACTGCTGCCTCCCCTTCAGCAAAGCCTATACCAGTCTAACCTTCTCTGGAGCTCCAGCCTTACCATCTGAGTCCTTCTGATTAGGATTGGGTACTAGGCGACAGTTATCAGGCCCAGGAGGTACATAATCTGGGACACCATCATTGTCATCATCCCCATCACACTCATCTCCGAGTCCATCATTGTCTGAATCCAGCTGAGAGCTGTTTGGCAGCTGAGGACAGTTGTCCTTGGTGTCCTGATGCCCATCTCCATCACTGCTCAGAATAGGCAACAAATACCAGCTGTCAAGGTAGACCCCACCTTTCCCCTACCTTCTGTGGGTTTTCTGGGGCCTGCCTGCCCTCCAACCTGGTCCCTTGCCATCAGCCTGATGAGATGAAGATCCAGCAGTGAGAATGTGGTTGATGGACTGGGAGAATGGCTTCCTGCTCAATAGTGGTGGTGAATTGAAGGCTAAATCATAGAGGCAACTGAGCATGTACTGGAGGAAAGGAAAATATCCCCCTGGAGACCCTGCATCTTTTGGCCCAGACCCTACCTGTCTTCATTGGTGTCACAGACATCCCCCACCAGGTCGCTGTCTGCATCTGTCTGAGAGAGAGGGGTCTGATCTCACCATCTCCTGATAACTCTGGAGAGAGAGGGTGACCTCACATCTTATTTGAAGGGCTGGGCCTCATCATCCACCAGATTCCCACCCTCCCACACCCTTGCTATTCCCCTGTACCTGTGTAGGATTGCTCATTTCAGGGCAGCTATCACAAGCATCTCCCACCCCATCTTCATCCCGGTCTGTCTGCAGTGGGTTAGGTACTTTAGGGCAATTGTCCAATCCATTGGGAATGCCTAGAAGACATGAGAAACACAAGGCTGTTGTTGCCGATGTAGCATGCTGTTCTCAATTGGTGAAAGTCCTGAGCTTTGTTAGGAAAACCTGCTTATACCTTGTCTGACCCTGTGACCTACACCTGGCCTAATCACTTCATGTTCCCAGGCTAGCGTCCATAAGTGTTCCCAGTTGTCACTGACTTCCAACCTCTTTCTTTCATCCCTACCTGAGCCAGCCCCTCAGCCCCAGGCCTGTACCATCCCCATCCACGTCATTATCACAGGCATCGCCTTCTCCATTGCCATCTGTGTCCTTCTGGTTATTGTTGGGAACATTGGGACAGTTGTCACAGGCATCACCAAATGAATCTGTGTCTGAATTCTGCTGGTCCTTATTGGGGAAGAGTCGGCAGTTGTCCTGGGTAAAAGGGGTGGGAGGAAAAGAGTCCCCCTAAACACCTTGTCCATGCCCTTGTCCAAGATCAACAACCTGCTTGGTGCTGTCCCACCCACCCGCCTTCATGTAGTCCATCTTGTCTAGGCACCAGGTACAGATCCCCAGCTGGTGTCCTAGGGCCTTTTCTAGAGAATTATCAGGGGCCTAGAAGAGACAGAACTGTGGGATGGAGCAAGAGAGACACACGACACGAGAAGACAGGAGCTAGGAGGGGCAGAACACCCTTTGAGGACTTTGTTGTTTGGGGGTTTTTTGTATGTGTGTGGGCATGCACATGCCACTGTGTTTGTGTGGAGGTCAGAGGACAACTTGCAGCAGTAACTTCTTTTCTTCCACTGTGTGGGGTCCCAGAGATTCAACTCAGGTCATAGGGTTTAATGGCAAGCACTTTTGCCCACTGAGCCATCTCTCCAGCCCCTACCTCAACATTCTTGATGCCATCCCCATCAGCGTCATCATCACACTGGTCTCCTACACCATCATTATCAGCATCTTCTTGTCCAGAGTTAGGTGTCAAAAGGCAATTGTCCTGAAGTTCAGGGAGAGGAAAAGGTGAGTTCTTGTGTGACCCAGCCTGGAGCTCCCTAACCACACTAGCCTTTGGTCCCCTGTACCTGCTTGCAGTGTTTGTTGTTATCCATGCAGGGAAGAGCCTGGTCTGGGTAGCCATCGATGTCTGTGTCAGGCCCACACACGTTCCCGTTCCCTGCCCAGCCCACATTACACTAGGGCAACACAAATGGCAGGCATTAGCAGTTTGGGCTGGCTCACTGTGCCCCACTACTTCCCCTGCTCCAGACCTCTGTTCTCACCAGCCAGATCCTGGGCACAGGCTTACCTCTCTTTCCCATGAAGACCCTCAGCTCAGTCCCTAAATATATGTTTACCAGCTTTACACTTTCCTCCAGATTCCTCCCTTTTTCTTCCATGCTCTAGGTCTAGCTTACCTGACAAGACACTGCACCATTGCGTTCAAAGAGACAGTGAGCATGGACATGGCAGGGGCTGTGGGCTGGGCTGTGGCAGGTTCTTGCTGGAAGACAACCCTGGCTCTGGTTGCCCAGGAAACCCAGACGGCAGGGACCACATTTGTAAGACCCCTAAAAGTAGAAAAGTGGAGTTAGGAAAGGAGAGTGAGCACCCCAGAACCAATACCACTGCACTTGTGGGGTATAGAACAGGTACCTACAGCAACGTCAAGTATAGCTATTTTAAGATATCAGGACAACCTTTAAGGTAGATAATAGCCCCATTTTTTCAAATGAAGAAGCTGAGATTCAAAAAAGGATAACTTGTTAAAGGTCATGGCTAGTAAATGACAGAAACCAGAATTCTTAGCCAGGTTCACATAAACACCTGAGCAATGTCCAAGAGAGCAGAAGAAAGTAGGAAATCTGAGGAAGGGAGTTACACTTCCCCCACCTCCCCAAACGCATGCAGGGTGTCCAACTCACCACCGTGTTCGTGCAGATAGAGTTTGGATCACAACCTCCATTGTTGCCATCATTGCATTCATCAATGTCATTGCAGACCTGAAAGGGCAGAGTTTGGTTGAAACAAGACTGATGATGGTTCTCATGGATAGAGAAGACTGTAATGACAGGGCTTTGCCAGTGAGCACTGATATGTTAGGCCCCCCAAATCAGAGCTGATGTACAGCCAACCTCATCCCATTTATCACAAGGCCGAGATCCTGGGGCTGGAGAGACAGTTCAGCAGTTAAAAAATACTGATGCCTGGCGTGGTGGCGCACGCCTTTAATCCCAGCACTTGGGAGGCAGAGGCAGGCGGATCTTTGTGAGTTCGAGGCCAGCCTGGTCTACACAGTTCCAGGACAGCTGGGCTACAGGGAGACCCTGTCTCAAAAAGACAAAAATAAAAATAAAAATAAAGCACTGACTAGGGACTAGAGAAGTGGCTCAGTGGTTAAGAACACTGTTCTTGCAGAAGACCTGGGTTCGAATCCCAGCACCCACATGGCAGCTAATAACTGTAACTCCAGTTCCAGGGGACAGCTTCTTCTGTCCTCCTTGGGCATTGCACGACATGGGTGCACTTACCTACATGCAGGCAATACACTCATACACATAAAATAAAAATAATAAAATATTTTTTTAAAAAAAGCCCTAACTAGGTTTGGTTCCCAGCACCAACATGTTAAAACCCATCCTTAACTTGAGTTTCAGGGGATCTGACACCCTCTTTTGGCCTCTGTGGGCAAATACATGATGCACTCAGACACATACAGGCAAAAGACCCAAATCCCTTGTCCATACTGATTACCCAATCTGACCTGTTTACTGGCCCGGGCATAGTCGATGCCCACACCAGATACCCGGGTGCCCTTGTACCCTTGAGGACAGGCTTCACAGTGGAAGCCAGGCATGGTGTTGATGCAGCTGGAGCCAGGGAAACAGGGGTCAGCGTGAGCACACTGGGGATCAGGTGAAAAGGCAGAAGTCAGGCACTGCCCTGAGGAGCTGAGGCACCTGCCTGTAATGCTAGAGCTATTACTCCCGATCTCCCTTTTATAGCTCCCCCAACCCAACTTCAGGGTGCTCCTATTGTCCCTACCTCTTCAACTCCTTCACTGGAGAACTTTGTAGTCTATCTCAGGTCTTCAGGCCTCTTTCCTGTCCTTGCTGGGCTCTGACCTCCCCTAAAGCTGATTCCTCTGTTTCTGACCAACTTTTGCCCCACCCTCATAGGCTCCTCATGATGACCTCACCCAGCTTTTTGTGCCCTTATGGGTTCTGCCATTCCCTACCTCATTGATGTCATCACAGTGGGTGCCATTGCCCTGAAGGCCAGGGGGACAGGGCCCACAGCGGTAGCCTGGGAACTCGTATACTTCCATGCAGTCCACGCCTCGGAAGCAGGGGTTGGGGCTGCAGTGGGAACGCTGCTCGTGGAAGCCTGGGAGGTGGGCACAGTTAGGGACACCATTCAAACTGCCAGGAAGGGGAAGCTGAAGCCATGGGGTAGGACGCACAGCAGTGTCATCTGGAGCCCTCCTCTACTCTCCCACTCACCGCACACCTGACACTCCATGATGGTGTTTCGGATGAGGGACATTTCTTTCACCTAAGGGATGGGGAACCATCAGCTCTCTGCACCTGCCACCCCACCCCAGAATCAGTTTCCTTGGCTGGCCCACCCAAACCTGGTCTCGGATGTCATCCCGCAGCTCCACTAGGATCTGGTTGAAGAGGGTGAGTTGGGTGACCAGTGCCTTGGTCTGCTCCCCTGCCAAGGCCCAGGGTATAGAGAGACTTAGAACTAGGAAACCCCTCTAACCCCTCTTTGGGCTGTAAGCCAGCACTTGTCCCCAGTGCCCACCCCACACCTTTAAACCCCACCCTTCCTTGACTAAAGAGAACTTAGATTCAGTCAGCCACCCACCCCTACCTCAACCACCTCTTCACTCACCTAGAATGGACTGCAGCGCACTGGTCACTAGAGGAGAAGTAGTAGCAGTCAAAAGGGTGGGCTGCTGAGGAGTAGGGGGAAGGGGAGGGGATGGGGATAGGGACTGGACCAGAACCTCAATAAGGTTTTTCAGAGTAGCAGGGCAGAGGTGACAAGCATTTGACCAGCAGCCTCATCAGCTAGCAGCAGCCTTTTCCACTGGACTAAAGGCCCTCTGGGAGTTGCCTCAGGAAGTCAAAAACCCAAGTCCTAGTTCCCAGACACAGCAGTACCAGAAGTCATGCAGGTAAGCCACGTGAAGAAGGGCTAGGGCTCTAGTACACTCCATCCCCAGCCCCTTTCCTAAGTTTCCACTTCAAGAGCTCTTTGAAATGTTTTGTTTTGTCTTTTGAGACAGGATCTCCTTGTAGGCCCAGCTAGCCTGGAACTCGCTTATGTAGACCAGGCTAGCCTCCAACTCAGAGAGATCAGCCTGCCTCTGCCTCCCTCACAGAGATCATCCTGCCCCTGGGATTAAAGGTATGCCACCATGCCCAGCACTCTTTGAAATCTGTGGGAGTGGGTGTTTGCTTAGGTAAGAGCCTTTGATTCCTGTCAGAGACCAGGATGACAACCCATGGCTGGAGATGCTGCTGCTAGTAGTGACAGCTGTCAGGAGGAACTACAAAAGACTTGATCTCAGCCAAGACCAGGCAGTTCCCTTCCTCCCCCCACTCCCTAGAGTTCCTCCAAGTTATAGTCATCTCAGATCATTTTATTTTTCTGATCCACATCTTCTATACAGGAGATTATGAAGTCAGGGATGGAAGATTTGGAGTAACAGGGTCAGAAGCCTCAGGAATGGGCAAGCCAAGGGAATGGTATTGAGGAGGGAGATCAAGAGTCTTTGTATTACCTGCACTGTGAATGGACTCATCTCCTTGGAATGGACACTCACTCAGGGCTCCTACCCGGGCCATGGACCCACCCAGAATAATTTTCATTGATTCCACAAAGCCCTAGGGGATAGCAAGTAAGGCAGGAGGATCTAGCAGCTCTTCTGACTGCTACAAACTGTTTCCCCAAACTGGAGAAAGTCCTTCCTACTCACCTGCATCCTCAGATAAGCCTTCTGTCCAGTTCTAATCTCCAGCCCACTGACCTCTGCTGGAGGAATGGGGGCCAGTGCTGGAAGGCCAGCATGTTGGTCACCCAGTTTACAGTCCACATAGAGCTGCAGGCCAGGGCTAGGTCGGGAGGGTCCTCGAAGCCGCAGGAGAGCCGTGTGTGTGCGCCCATCAGCCAGGCCTGCTTGCTGTAGGTTCACTGCATGGACTTTGCCATCTTCCCGCTGGTACCGCACCAGTACTGCCCAGGAATGGAGGTCAGTATAGACACTAGCACCCATCCCATATCCCAGCTGAGCCTTGGATCATCTCTGCGACAGCATATCTCTAAGGCTACCATCCCTAATTTGGGTCATCTCTACACCTTATATGTAACAATGTGCAAAATGTTTTTCAAATTGGTTAGATGAGGACCTTACCAGGTTTCAATACCTCAGATAGTTATCCTCTTCCAGGGTGGCAGCTGGCTTTGAACCCAACTGAACTGTACCAAGGACCTGAGTGGTTCCTACCAGTGTTGTACACAGAGATGCCTCATACTCCTCTGAGCATCCCTAGTCCAATTTCCCATCTCTATAAATATCAGGCTTTACCCTACTGTTTGGATACCTCCATGCCAGGTAGAGATCAAGGAGAATAAAGAGGAACCTGGAAACTGGGATGAGGGAGACTGCTCAAGGGGTCACTGGCACAGGAAAGGAAATGTCCACCAGTCACCTTTGTTGATCTTGCCCACAACAGAGGCCTCCAGCCATCGTGTGTTGTCTTGACGAGAGTAGAGGCCAAAGAGGATACCGCCTTGTTTAGGGGGGAGGCGGAAGGTAGACAAGAGGTAGATGTCCCCAGCAGTGAGTAAAGCTGTCCGGATCTTCTCTGCCACAGCCACCATCTGCCGGGACTCGCCCACAGTCAGCAGGTCAATTACTGGTCAGGCGGAGTTATCAAGGTCAGAGAAAGGAGTAAGTACTAAGACATGTCCTCTCTCCTGAGTCCTCAAGGGTAGGGCATCCCTAATTACCCACCACTACCACCATTGAGTATCGTCAGTCACCTCAAATCTCAACCTAGCTAGGTACAGTGGTGCATGCCTGTAAACAAATGGTGCATGCCTCAGGCTGAGGAAGAAAAACTGCCTCAGTCATGAGGCCAGCCTGGGTTACATAGCAAAAAACAAAAACTTCAGTCCTTATTGTTGGAGAGCACTGTGCTGCTTACCAGAACTCTGGGAACCTATAGGCCTGAGGCCCACTTGGAAATACCAAAGCCACCCTACAAACTTGAGATGCCCCACCAGGTGGCGCAAGGGAGACACTGCTGATCTGAGGCAGGAGTGGCACCTGGTGCCCACAACTCAGAAACGGAAAACAGCTTCTCTCCACTGGTAGGTTTAACTCACTCTAAATCCTGGTGCTGTTCTTCCCATCCTGGAGGGCTCCACACATTCATCTGGATAGGAACAGCTGCCTACAGAGGACTCTGACCCTCCCACCACCGGTTAGCCTCTTCCCTTTGGGAATGTAGGACCCAGCTCCTCTGCCTCCTGTGTCCTGGCCAATCTGTGGTTTCCCCTCCAGCCAGTAAAGAATCTTTGCTTGTGTCATTGGTTCCAGCTACCTTTCCCCACACCCCTGGGCCCATCCCACTACCAGACCTCCGGGAATGCTCAGACCTTTCAATCCCCACCTCCTTCCCCTCCTGCTGCCTTTCAGTAGCCAAGAGTCATGGGAGAAAGGAGACCAAGCCTAGGGACCCATATAGTGCACCCACTTTCAGGCTGCTCTCAGATTGAGTGGCCTGTGGATGCTCTGACACCAACTCAGCCATGCAGCTCTGGTACCCAGCTCCTGAGTTCTCCACCCTGGCCTCATGCCTGGTACTGGGCCAGTTTGCACTCACAACTCTAATGCCCATTCCTCCCACAAGGCTATATATCACCAACTCTACACAGTTTAACTTTTCTCTCCAATCCAATTTCAGGACTCTTCCTCTCACCTCAAGCCTGCTACTTGATTGGGGGTAAAAGACAGGGGACTTGGGGGGTCGCTTAAGAGGATGGATAAGAACTTACCCTGAAGGTCCTGACTGGCAGATGCGAAAGAGCAAAGGAGGAGAAGAGCCAATGCCCCCCGAAGTTCCTGTGTCTCCATGCCGCTTAGCCGGCTCACTACCCCTGGCAGGCAGGCAGCTGGGAGGGAAAACGGCTAGGCGGAGAGCAGGAGCGGGGGGCGGAGGGACGAAGGAGGGAGTTGGAGGGGGGGCAGCAGGCGGGTGAGGGGGGGCTGAAACAAAGAGCTGCCAATCACCTTGGAGGCATCACCAGCTCCTAGAACCAAGGGCACTGGGAAAGAATCCTGTAGGCTTCCCTGCGTCCTCCCCCTCTCTAATGGTCATCTCCACTACGTGTTTCCCTCTTCCCTGACATCTGGTTGTTGGGGATTTAACATACAGCACTACCAAATATCACTGTTTTCTGGAAGCCAGGATTGGGGAAGGCAGAAATCCCCGCCACAGGCAGCACTAGACGGTGTTATTCCACAGTTGGCAGAAAGGGATGCCAAGGGAGTGGCCGAAACTGGCTTGCTCATAGTGCCCAGAGGATGCCCGTAAGACATGAATCTTACTGCTCTGGCGGAGGAAGCACTTTTTATTAGGGTGAGAGGGGCACTGACATGTGCCTGTTCCTCCATTTTCCTTCATTCTTAGGAAAAGTGAGTCTGGAAGCGTCAGATGGGACCTGGACACTGGGATGGAGTCTAATAGTGTTCACTGAGGTCAAAGTGAAATCAGGGAAGGAAAATGTCACTAGAAACAGAAAACCAGGGGAAGACACGGCTTGGTGAGCACGGTGGGCAACGCGGAAAGGCCGTGACCGGAACGAAGTCTGAGGGAACCCGAGTTCCTGTTAACGAAGGCAAAAGCCCGGGAGCCCCACCTCCCCTTCCCCCACTCAGGCCCCAGCCCGGCCTCAGGTCGGGCGCCGCCACCGCCCCTGTTTTGTTTCCATGGCGACAGGAGGCGCGGGGCCGGCTCCAAACATAACGCGCTGTGGAAAACATGCGGCTCGGAGGACCGCCCCGCAGCCCCCGCTCGGGGCAGAGACCCATGGGGACCCGAGGCTGCCCAGGCCACGTGCAGTTTGGCAAGTGCCCCGGAGCCGGCCCGGCCGCACAAGACCCCCTCTCCAAGGCTTGCCGCGTCTTCCTCGGCTCGCTCGAGGCCCAGCGACTCTCCAAGGCGCGCCTGCGGGTGCCGTCTGGGGACGAGCCCGCGGCCGCGCTCCCCAGAAGGCCGCAGCCCCACCTCCTGGAGCCCCGCCGCTTCTCAGACCGCGGGAAAGCGCGCCTCCCCAGAGGCCTCCCCAGGTCCCCAACCCCCGCTGGCCCGACGGGTGGCGGCGGGGGGCGGGTCCTGGTGTTGTGGGGGGGAACTAGCCCAAACGTATGAGGAGGTGCTTCCGGGTCAGAGAGCGAGCAAGATGGCGGCGCCCATGGAGTTGTTCTGCTGGTCCGGGGGCTGGGGGCTGCCGTCAGTGGACCTGGACAGTCTGGCTGTGCTGGTGAGGGGTGGTGCTTTCGCCCTCTGTTGCGCCCTAGAGTCTGGGGAAGGGGTCAGAAATTTGCCTGGAGCCCAAATAGAGCACATTAAAAGAAACTGAGGCAATCAAAGGATGTGCCCGGTCGATGTGAGCTCAATGCCCTACGCTGTGGTTTCAATAACTTGTGTAGTTACTGAAGTAGATCTGATCATGGTTTCAGAAGACGGGTTTTAGCTTACCCACTTGATGGGTTGTGTGACTTTGGGGGTAATCCCTTATGGAGGCTCGCCAAGGTGTCCGACTTGACATTCCTGTCCCCACAGCCCCTTGCCGCCACCTTTTCACCAAATGTTTACTGAATCTTGTTTTCTTGGATCAGACATCGATAGTACCACAGTCAGTCTGGAATTAGACCAGATTCACTTCATTCATCCTCTCCAAGATGATAAAATCATGTATTAGGCTTCTGAACGCAGCACCTTAGACTGCTCTGCCCTCCTGACTTGCACATAGGCTTCTAATTAAACATGGCTTTACAATGATGAATAAGATTTTGATCCCTCACACTCAGATTGTTTATAGAAAGACACATGTGTAAGCAAATACTGAATGCTTAGGTGTACAGTATAAAAGGAAGAGATCACAGAGATTGCCAAAGAAACTCAGTGCTTCCAAGAAGAGGGCTACTAGTTAGGAAAAACTTCCGAGAATACACTTCACAACCCAAGGTAGATGGCAGAAGAGAAAGAGAAGGATTTTCCTGACCCGTTCATAATCTCTCTGAGTACTGTTTTGCTCATTTGTAAATGGGAATGACTTATTTTATCTATTTGGGGTATAGGTACTAAGCATAGATCATGGCATATAGTGTTTTGAGTAAATATTTCTCTTCTTGGTGCCTCTGTGAAGCCATTCCCTGGCCTCTGCCTTCTTCCTTCCCTGCAGACCTATGCCAGATTTACTGGTGCTCCACTCAAGGTACACAAGATCAGCAATGCCTGGCAGAGTCCTTCAGGTATACAGTATCCCTGGGGGTAAGGAAGGGAATGCCAAAGGGAGGAGCAGGAAAAAGGAATGTGATGCAAATGTGCATGAATAGGCAAGCAAGGATCATGTGGGCATACTTCCTTCTCAATATCAGGAACTCTGCCTGCCCTTCGAACCAGTCATGGAGAGGTCATCTCAGTACCACACAAGATCATCACCCATCTTCGAAAAGAGGTAGGTGGCTTGAATGGGGACTGACAGTGAATGAAATCCAATCAGTTCAGTGTAATACACATTAAACACCAGACATATGCCAAGTTAGACACAGGTGATCCAGGGTATCATGGAGCACACATTCTGATGAGGGAGACACACAGTGTCACTGTGATAAGCAGTTGGCCAGATATTAAACTTAGGGGACTGTGAGGGAATCTGAGGTCCAATGCCTTCTGCATGCTGGAAAGGGAAGGAAGGACACATAGGCCAATGATACATGGAGGAAAATGAAGAGTAGAGAACAGCAGTTGGTTCTGATGATGCCCTTTAAAATGGGACTGGAAAGGGACTTCTAATAAAACTAGGTATGATAGTATAGGCCTGTAATCCATCACTTGGTAGAAGCAGTACTATCAAAAATTCAAGATCACCCTTGCCTACCTAGTGACTGAGGCCAGCCTGAGATACTGACTTTAAAACATATATGTATGGGGCTAGAGAGATGGCTCAGTGGTTAAGAGTACTGACTGTCTTGCAGAGGACCTGGGTTTGACTCCCAGCACCCACATGGTGGTTAACAACTATCTGTAGTTCCAGTTCCAGGGGATCTGACACCTTTTGACCTCCAAGAGCATTGCATGAGATGGGTGCACTTGCGCACATGTGGGCACTCATACACATAAAATAAAAATAATAAAATGTTTTTTTTAAAAATGTATGTATGTACATGCCTTCAATCCCAGTATTTGGGAGGCAGAGGCAGGCAAATAGGTGCCAGGCCAGCCTGGTTTACATAATGAACTCAAGGCCAACCAGGGCTACATAGTATCAAAATGAGAAACAAAAGTGATACTATCACTTACCCCATTTCTAGGTTTTAGGGACTGAGTTGTGCTCAGGGCTTAGAATAGTCTAGGCTTCAGGCCAGGCTGGGAAATTTCAAAGAGCATTACAAGAGTGGGAGGCCTCCACTGGGCTCCCATCAGTGACTGTGACCTTGGGCAAGTCATTTAGCTTCCCAAAGCAATAAACCTTTTTTTTTTTTTTGGTCTTTTTGAGACAGTCTCTCTGTAGCCCCCAGCGGGCCTGGAACTCACTATGTAGACCAGACTAGTCCCAAACTCACAGAGATCTACCTGCCTGTGCCTCCCCAGTGCTGGGATTAAAGGCATACACCACCACACCCATCTTGCAATAAATTATTTTTCAAAAACATTTATTTAGCTTGTGTGTAGGGTGTGTGCATACATATACCATGACATACTTGGGGAGGTCAGAGGACAACTTACAGGAGTCACTTCTCTCCTTCCTCTATATGGGCTCCAGGGATCAAACTCATCAGGCTTAGTGGCAAGCACCTTTACCTGTTGAGCCATCTTACTGGCTTATAAACTCTTTATCTGTAAAACTAAGGTGCTTAGCTAACATGCTTCCTGAGAGTTCTAGCATTCACAGTATAGTTCCAAAAGGTTGCATACTGTCAGAAATGAGATCTAGAAAGACAACATTTCTGTTTTTCAAGGAACTGGGAAATTAATGGAAACTTGAGAGACTTGGAGAAATAGAATCCCTTTTTTTTGTTGTCATTTTGAGACAGGGTCTCCCTATTGCCCCAGCTAGCCTGGCACTTCTATGTAGACCAGGCTGGCCTCGATCAATCTCACAGAGATCCGCCGGCCTCTGACTCCCCAGTGCTGGGACTAAAGGCATGTACCACCATGCCCAGCAGATTTTAAAAATAAATTAATAAGTTGCTGGCAGGGCCTGAGTCACTGCCTTGATTCCTTATAATAAACAGAAGCTTTTCCAGTTTCTAGGGTGTCTTTTCCTGAATTATTTCCAATCCAGCCATCAAGAAAAGTTTATTATCTCATTCCACGAGAAATTAAGGTTCAGGGAGATTTAAGAATCATCTCAAAAGCCAGTTGTGATGGCACATGCCTTTAATCCTGGCACTAGGGAGGCAGAGGCAGGTAGATCTTTGTGAGTTTGAGGCCAGCTTGGTCTACATAGCAAGTTCCAGGCCAGCTGGGGCTACAGGGAGACCCTGTCTCAAAAAGACCAAAAAATAAAAAGAACCATCGTGGGGCGTGGTGGCGCATGCCTGTAGTCCCAGCACTTGGGAGGCAGAGGCAGGCGGATCTCTGTGAGTTCAAGGCCAGCCTGGTCTACATAGTGAGTTCCAGGACAGCTGGGGCTACAGGGAGACCCTGCTTCAAAAAAGACAAAAAAAAAAAAATAAAAGAACCATCTCACAAGAGGTTATATAAGGACAAAGTTTACTCAGTATGTGGAGGGGATGCTAAGGAACACACTGAAGCATGGGAAGGTGGGCCATACAAGAGATGGGAGTCCTGGTGGGCTGTGTGTGCTGTGATGGCACCTAGGCTAGAGTGAAGTAGAAGAAATAACCAGGAGTTGGGCCATGAGAGACAAGCCAGAGAGGCCCTGGGCATAAATTCAGGGAGAGAGAGGATGGTACCCCCTGATTTCTGAGTCATGCGCTGAAGCCCAGACTACAGTTGAGCTCCACTTTGCTAGCTTTGTGGTATCTGGATCAGGAAGTTACTGTTAGAAAGTTGCTGTCAGTAGGCATGCTGCCAGCTTTCCGTGGAAACTCTGGGAGCTGTTCCTACTTTGCGGCCAGGCCTTCTTTCCTCCCCCCATTGGGTGCAGGACCTTAACAGCCAGTGGGCTCCAAAGCCCAGGCTTTCTGCCAACAGCAACAGGCTACTGGCTGGGCTGAGGCAAGAGAACCTCTGCAGGAAAAGCTCCCTATTTTACTTCTACTATACTTAGAGGCTAGTGAAGGGGTACCACCCCTTCTCTATTGGGAAGTTGCCCCTGCAGTTCTTCAATGTCTATCCTTGGATATTTCTTCCTCAGAAGTATAATGCTGATTATGATCTGTCAGCCCGGCAAGGAGCAGATACCCTGGCCTTCATGTCTTTGCTGGAGGAAAAACTACTCCCTGTGCTAGTGAGTATGCCCAGACCTTCTAGTATTCATAATTTGCAGGAAATTACAGAGACACACAGGCACAAAACAGCACGGGGCTCAAAAGCCCACCCTCTGACAAGCAAGTGCACTGGCTCAGGCTTTTTCTTCCTTCCTGTCTGCCCAATCTAGATACATACTTTTTGGATAGACACTAGGAACTATATAGAAGTGACCCGGAAATGGTACGCAGAGGCTATGCCCTTTCCCCTCAACTTCTTCCTGCCTGGCCGCATGCGGCGACAGTACACGGAGCGGCTGCAGCTACTGTGTGGAGAGCATAAGCCCGAGAATACGGAAGAACTAGAGAAGGAGGTAGTTCTGGGACAAGTGAAATAAGCCTTAAGGATGATGGCTAGGAACAAGAGTGCCTACAATGGGAAGTGTCACTCTTCTTGCAGCCACAAGCATGTGTCCCTCCCTACAGCTCTATCAAGAGGCTCGGGAATGCCTAACCCTTCTTTCTCAACGCCTGGGCTCTCAGAAGTTCTTCTTCGGAGATGCGTGAGTCTGACAACGAGGGAATAATGGGTGTTGAAGAAGATACATGTTCAGATGTTGAGGCTGGGGCTCAGGCTCTGGATAGAGGGCCTTAGGATGGACACTGACTCTGGTGACAGTGGGACTGTGTGTGGGGCTAGAGCCTCCTTGATGGTACAGGAGGGTGGGATGGGAGGGCAGCCAGGCATAGGAGGAGCCTACAGGGCCTTGGGGCACTCAATGTACCCTTTATGCAGCTCTGGGATAGAGCGCCATTCAGGGTCAGGCTGGCGCCACTGAGGGAAAACGCCTCTTACCGGATCCAGAACTGGGTGTCCTGTCCTTTCTTTGCTGCCCAGAGCCGATTCCACTTTTCCTGCTGCTCCATTCTGACCCCTCTGCCCACCTTTCTCTCTCCAGCCCTGCCTCCCTGGATGCCTTTGTTTTTAGTTACTTGGCCCTGCTGCTACAGGCCAAGCTGCCCAGTGGGAAGCTGCAGACTCACCTGCGAGGGCTGCACAACCTCTGTGTTTACTGCACCCACATCCTCAGCCTCTACTTTCCCTGGGATGGAGGTAAGAAGCCAGTGGGGAGGACAGCCCTGGAGAGGATAGGCTAGGATCTGGGAACTAGTTCCCCTGTCCACCTTTCTTCCTTGCCTCTCAGCTGAAGTGCCACCCCCACGCCAGACACCAGCAGGCCCTGAGACGGAGGAGGAGCCATACCGGCGTCGGAACCAGATTCTATCAGTGTTGGCAGGGCTTGCTGCCATGGTGGGCTATGCCCTGCTCAATGGCATCGTTTCTATCCAGCGGGCAACACCTGCTCGGGCCCCCAGCACGCGGGCCCTGGGCATGGCTGAGGAGGAGGAGGAATGATGTACGCTCATTCTCTCAGGACTCATTTTTCTACTGTCATGCATTCCAGATGCCCCTTTGCCTCCCCAGTTTTAGGGTAGCCGGAAATGGGGTGCTATCCCCAAAATAAAGCTGCTCACACTGACTGGGATCAACATTTTCTCCTTTATAGGGCTCTCATTTTTCTAGCTGGTGCCCTAAAAACAGGTAGGTAGGTGTGTAGGCCCACGTACTGGCATTTGCCTGAGCCCTGATGCTGACATTACTTCTGCATGGTCCCATTTCTGCATCTCTGGGAAAGACAAACAGTCCCTAATTTGGGTCCAACTTTCCTAATCCCCTCCTTTCATTCCCCCACCTCCCCCCATCTTGCGTTTGTACAGACAGTGAGCTCACCCTGGACCCAGGCCCAGTTTCCACAAGCAACCAGCACATAACACACATTTATAGAAGCATGGGGAGTTTGGGGACACCAAGGCTTCCTGATTTTCTTCAGGGCCTCTAGCCCCTGGCACCTACTAGAGAGAATGAGATACCCAAACCATTGCCCCAGGCCTATGTCACAGTAAACTCGCCCACACCCTGCTGTGCCTCCTTTAGCCACAGGCAGCACATGAGCTAATTCCCTTTAATGCCCATGCTCGGCTCAGGTGCCTGCTTGGTATCCCATCACTGGCGATGCCACAGGTAGGTATGAATGGAGTAGCCAGGTGAGATGGTCTCCAGGAATCCCAGAGCAGGATCACTGATCGTAAGAGGGACATCCTTAGAGGAGCTGGAAATAAGAGAAGCTGAGAGTCAACTTGCTGAGGTTGACCACCACACACAGCCCAGGTCCAGACCTGCCATTGTGTTCAGCTCACCGGTTTAGGACAACCACAACTGCAGAGCCATCAGGGCGTATCAGTGCCACTGTGTCTAGATCGTTCTTCTCACTGGCCACCAGCCCCACTCTCTGGGATCCCTCAGGAATGAATTTGCTGAATGTAAAGACAAGCATCATCAGGGACCCCAGCCCAAGTTCTCTAGCCCCAGGGCACTGCCCTCCAAACTCTCCTGGAAGAAATCATCCATCCCCAGCACCATCACTGCTCAGGAGTCCTGCCAAAGCTGTCTAGGGACATGTATGTACAGTCTCAGCTATTTGGGAGACCCAGGCTGTGGAGAATAGGAAATTCCAGGCTTGCCTGGGCAATGCAGCCAGACTCTTAACTTGAAACCTTAGTTATGCTTCTGAGCCCTGGCCCTGCCCTACTGCATCCCAGCTCCAGCATCAGTCATCCAGGGATTATCTGTGTCTCTAAATGCTTCCTAGTCACTTCCTGCCTACATGGTGCAATAGAGGAGGTATTCCTCCCAGAGTTACATCCCTGAATACCTTCCTGATCCCTCATGGTGTAGAATGATGTAGGCCTGATGCAGATGATAGGCCTGGCGTGGAATGGGGGTGCTCTACTCACCTGAAGTGGCCAAGATGGTAGAACATGGGCTGTTTGTAAAATGTATCTTTGGCAATGTCTACAATGATGGGACTGTCAACAAAGTTTCGGACCCAGTTGGGCCCCCCTTCAGGATTCAGGGCAAGGTTCCAGTCAGTCCAGCCAACCACATGGTAAAGGAGGTTCTGGAGTAGAAACAAGGGCAAAGAGATAAAGACATGTGTCTTGGGGCTGGAGAGCTGCTCAGTGGTTAAGAACACTGCTCTTGCACACAACCTGGGTTTGTTTCCCAGCATCCACCTGATAGCTAATGATTGTTCATAACTCCAGTTCCAAGGGATCTGACGCCCTTTTGGCCTTCTCAAGCATTTCACACACACACACGGTGTAGGTAAAACACCCAAACACATAAAATATAAATAAAAAAAAAAAAAGATGGGTGTCCCTAGAGGTGACAATTAATTGCACAAGGGAGCTGGGGTCTGGGAGGGGTGTTGTGTCTCAATAGCTAAGAAGAGGAGGATTGTGAAGATGGAGGCATCTCAAGGGGAGCTGAGAAGTCAAAGGCAGCTACAGCTGCCTAGCCCCAAACTTGAAGGAAAAGGAGATGGGGTGGGATGTGCAGGTCTGTGAAGGAAAAGCAAGATAGAAGGCTGGGCATGGTAGCTCACACCAACAGAGGCAAGTTCCAACACAGCAAGTTCCAGCTAGGGCTACACAGTGAGATTGGAAGTGATCTGCTCTTTGAGAAGGGAGACAGGTGGCTCACCGTGATGATGCTGTGACTGTACTGCATCCCTCGATCCCAGGAGCCCAAACGCACACTCTGTTCCCAGAACTTGGAACCCACACAGGCCTCTGAGGCAAAAAGCATGGTGTTAGGGAAGAGGCGGTGTGTCTCTCCTAGAGTGGCTTTTGCTGGAGCCAGAAAGTCCAGGTACCAGTGCACAGCAATGCCATGAACGTACTTAGCTGCTTCTGGGTCTGCCAACACCTGTACAGGGAGAAGGAAGGACCACTGGGAAAGGGGAACCATTGACCATATGTTCTGCTCAGAGGGGTCTGAGAGAACTAGGAGTCTTGAGAAATGGCTGGTGGGATGAATGAACTAGAGAGTATTAAAGTGACAACCACAGAGATTCAGAGGGTTCTGGAGGTCTGGAGGGGGTAGTGGCCTGGACAATGACACAACCCAGGGTGTTTTGAAGTCAAGAGTTGGGGTATGGTGCTCAGAAGCTAGTAAAGTGCTTGCCATACAAGCTGAGTACCCGAGTTCGAATTCTAGCATTCACATAACCAGGCATGGTGGCACAGCTTATAAGCCCAGGACTGGGCAGTTAGAGACAGTTGGATACTGGTGGCTTAGTGGCTAGCAAGCCTAGCCTAGTCGGTGAACACCAGGTTCCACTGAGATACCCTATCTCAAAAACCTAGGTGGACTCTCCTGAGGAATGGACACCAAAGATTGACCTCTGGTTTCTACATGCACACACATCTCCACATACATAAAAAAGGGTTGGGAGCTCAGCATTCAGGAGGCAATGTCAGGCGGGTATCTGTCAGTTTGAGGCCAACAAGGATTACACAGTGAAACTGTCTAAAAAAATTAAGCTGGGCGTGGTGGCACATGCCTGTAGTCCTAGCACTTGGGAGGCAGAGGCAGGCAGATCTCTGTGAGTTCAAGGCCAGCCTGGTCTACATAGTGAGTTCCAGGACAGCTGGGGCTACAGGGAGACCCTGTCTCAAAAAGACAAAAAATAAAAATAAAAATTAAGTTGGGTATGGTGGCACACGCCTTTAACCCCAGCACTCAGGAGACAGAGGGAGGCAGATTTCTGTGAGTTCAAGGCCAGCCAGGTCTCCATAGTGAGTTCCTGGTCCAGCTGGGGCTACAGGGAGACCCTGTCAAAAAAAAAAAAAAAAAAAAAAAAAAAAAAAAAAAAAAATATGGAAACGCCAAGTATAGGGCACATGCCTATAATTCCAGTACTCTTGAGGCAGAGGCAAGAAGGTTGCCTCAAGTTCAAGACCAGCCTGGTTTACATAACAAGACTCTATTTCAACCTTTCCTGGGTAAGGGAAGATATTCTAAATTTGTAGCCCACCATTTTGGATGCTAGATTTGGGGTTCATTGGGGTACCCTGGGAGGTTCTAGGCCTTACCACCTGTGCCCAGCGGGGCAGTAGCAAGCGCTGATCATCTAACATGAGCAACTGGACATTATGGTGAGTACTGTTGGCTAGGGTTGGTCCTAGGTCACGGGCAATGAAGTCTCGCTGGTGTTCAGCAGTGAAGCCTAGGCACTGGAAGGGGTACCCACTAATGAGCCCCGCAGAAGGCTCATTCTCCACTGTCACTGCCCAGAATTTTAACTTGTGCTCAGCATAAGCATCCAGAAACCTGGAGGAGAAAGTACAAGCATAATTAGGGCCAAGAAAGTAGACTAAGACCCGGGGGAATAGGAAAAACTGCAAGTCTGAATGGCCCGAAAGGTGGACAGATGAACTGAGAGGCAGATCTGAAGTGGAGCCAGGTCAAGGGGTAGAATGTGAACCAAGGAGTCCAAAAGGGAGGTTGGTCCAGGCGCCATGGCCTTGCTGATTCCTTACTTGACAAAATACTTGGCCCAGGTCTGGTGATAGATATCCCCTGGCTGACCCTTGAGTGACCCCTTCCCATTCACTGCCCCATTGGTCTTGAGCCAAGTAGGTGATGTCCAGGGACTGGCAAAGAGTGAGACGGGGCGCTGGGCCATCTGCAGGGCTTGGTGAATCAGGGGTATCTGGAGACAAATGTAGTAGAGAGACACCCAGAGTTGGAACACAGACTAGCCCAACCAGTGTTTCAGGTCCAACCATCAGCCCCAACCCTCCTATCCTACTAGGACAAACAGGCTGCAAGAGAAGGTTCTATAGACTGCCCTAGCCCTTCACAGCCTCCAGACAGCACCAGTAAACACTGAGGCAGTCAGAATGCCCACCTTGAGCTTGGTATCTTCTTCTGGAAGACTGAAGTTGTATAACTGGTAGTCATTAGGGGTGTCAGCATAAGTGTATATACGAATGGAGAAGTCACAGCTGGCCATGGGTACCCGGATGATGTTATATTCAATTCCTACAGGAAAGGATGACCAAGAAATGTAAGTCTGAATTAACAGAGAGTATGGGACTTGGCTTAACTACTTGTTAGTCCTCAATAGGGTCTCATCTAGAGCCAAAGGGAACCTGGGTCCCTCGGTTGGAAACTGTGGAGATGAGAATCTGAGTGAAACACAAACCCTTCTGAACTTGAGTTTTCAAGCACTTACAGAAGATTGAAAGGGCAGTCTTAACTCACTGACACTAAGACCAGAACCAAATGGCTTGGCACACCTGGTGGCATATGCCTGTAATTCTAGTACTTGGGGAGCTAAGTCAGGAGGATCAAGTTTGAAGCCAGCCTGGGCTACAAAGGAAGGGAAGTAAGGAGAGGGGACAGGAAACAGAGAGAGGAGAGGCAGAGAGACAGAGACAGAGAAAGACAGAGACAGAGACAGAGAGAAAGAGAGACAGGAGATAGAGACAGCCTGGCAATGTAGCTCAGTTGGGAGACTGCTTTCCTAGCATATACGAAGCCTCAGCACAGAATAAACCAGATGTGATGGCGCACACCAATAATCCCAGCACTCAGGAGATGTAGGCAGAAGTAGTTCAAGGTCATTAACTATACTACACAGTGAGTTTGAGCCTTGGAGACCCTGCAGAGAGAGGGAGAGAGGGAAGGGAGAAGAAAAAGAAGAGAGGAGGGGATAAGAGAAAGCAAAAGAAAATGAGAGAGGAAGGAAATGTCAGGGAAAAACATGAAAGTCAGGGTACACGGGATGGTGAAATGGCTCAGTGGGTAAGAGCAGCTTGCCATCAAGTTTGCCTACCTAATCATTCCCCAGGACTCTCATGATGGAAGGAGAGAATGGACTCCTACACACATATGCCACAGCACATGTGCATGTGCTCATGGGTATGTACACAAACACATATTACAATGTAATAAAAATTAAACATTTTGCCAGGCATGGTAGCGCAGGCCTTTAATCCCAGCACTCGGGAGGCAGAGGCAGGCAGATCTCTGTGAGTTCAAGGCCAGCCTGGTCTACATAGTGAGTTCCAGGCCAGCTAAGGCTACAGACAGACCCTGTCTCAAAAAGACAATAAATAAATAAATAACAAACATCTTTTAAAAATCGGAGTCCAGAGAAGGTATCAGTTCTACTGTGTCATCTTGCCCCACTACTCACCTTCTTCAGAGAAGTACGATTTGAGTAGCAGATTCTGGGCAGAGGGTGACAGGGCAAGGATGTTGAGAGCAGCAGCATCTGTCATTGCTCCTCCAAATCCTTTCACTTGCTGAAACTTCTCTTCTGGCTGTAGGGTCAGTAGAAGCCCTGAGGTCAACATCAGGGAAGAAGGGGAGTTAGTGCACAGAGGAGAAACTCCATATTGATCACTGGCATGATTTTGCTCTGGAGGACCCACTCTGGTTAGAGAGATGGACAGTGTTACCTGTGCCTGTGCGATTGGCCTGGATAGACCCCACACTCAGCTCCATTCGTCGTCCACTTCGTGTACTCTCATAGCGGCTGAAGGTACCGGGAGCAGGGAGGGTCAGGGGGTCAAGAGAGTCACAGTACGTGGCATTGCAGACACAGACCACTGAGCTATAGCCAAAGCTTTTAGGAATGCAGGGCCGGGCACCTGGAAGGCAGGAGCACAAGCAGTGGCAAGCAGCAAAGTGGGTTGACAGGGAGAGTGGGCATGCTGCTTCAGGAGACTGAACAACAGTTTCAAAAATCCCCTCACCGTACTCCCAGCCCGAAGTAGGTCTCAATCACTCTAAAGGGTTTATACAGCCTCTACTGAAAGTCCACCACCATACTGTAAGTTACCAAAGGACTGTGGGGCAGAGGGAGCCTATATGCTGCCTCTCCCCATGTTACTTACTTACCTGATGCCCATGACACTGCCTGAAGTAGGAACAATCCTGTAAGCCTGGCAGCCATGACACCTACCCAGCCCAGATGTCTGAGACACTCCTGAGAACAGAATGAGGAGTGGCTAGAGGGGAAGACCCTCTCCACCCATCAACTACACTACTGGCCAGGGTTCAGTGGACTGTGGGTGCCCACAGCACTGTCTCCCCACCTTTTTTGAGAGGTTAGCCAAGGCACCTAGACACCTGGATGCACCCCGTTTTGCAACCCCTCCACCGATGAGTTTTCTGCCTATCCAAAAGAGGGCTCTCCTCACCCCTTTCCCCACTAGAGCCTTCTCTCCATCTGTGCCTTGCCCAAAGATCCACGGTAGCCTGGATTCAAAGAATCTGCCATTCATTAAATTCTACAGCAGGGATGGCCAGAATTCAAGAAGCAAGGTTGACAAGGCAAATTGCGACCTCTTGCCTGCCTGCTTACCTTTCCCGGACGTCTTGAAAGCCTCATCCCCTCAAGATCAACAAAGAAGGATTAGACTGCAGGTGTCTCTTTCCAACGTCTGGAAGAGATAGAGGACCCACTAAATAAAAACAAGGACGTAGATATCTGCTGTAGAACAGGACTAGCTCGGTAGGTTAATTTCGGCTCCAAGAAGAGGATGAAGTCATGTGACCCCTACAGGAAGTCACATGACACAGAAAGTGAGGCAATCGTAGCCATATTTGTAATGGGCAGATGGGATCTTCCAAGTAGTTCATGTATTATATACCCTGTGAAACTCTGAAAGACATAAGTTGGTGATAACTTTGGGAAGAGCCTAGAACAAAGATTTCAGTGGAGACTTGGGCTGAGGCTCTTAAATCTGGTAGAAAGGGAACCACAGCAGGCAAATCTTGAGAAAAAAATTTAAAGTAACTTCAGTAAGGGCTGACTGGAGGTATAGCTCAGTCAATGGTAGAGCATTTGTCTAGCATGAATTAATACTGGGTTTCAACTTTAGTACTTTATTTAAAATAAAAAGCAATGTTAACAAAGGTTTTGTTAATCAAAAGAGATTCACTGTGAAACATATGGAAGCTGGGACTAGAGAAATGGCTCAGCAGTTAAGAACATGTACTGCTCTTGCAGAGGACCTAAGTTTGGTTTCTAGTCACCCATATCCGGTATTTCACAACTCCCTGTAACTCCAGCTTCAGGGGGATCGAATACCCTCTTCTAGCCCTGATATACCCATGCATGAACACACACGTACACAATAATTAAAAATAAAATAAATCTTTTTAAAAAATATGGAAACCAAGGAAATATTTAAAACACAATCTTTGCCCAAAGCACAAAAGTCACACAGATATTTCCAGCTGAAGTCTGAAATGTTAACAGGTGTGCTTAGAAAATACTGGGAGGTTGCAACCTGGCCCTGGGTAGCATGATTGAGGGAGGAAGCAGTGAGTGAGCACTGCCTCTTTCTGGATTCCCTTGTTTCATCATCAAATGCTGGTTTTAAAGCTCTTCATCCTTCCTCTCAAGACTGGGAGGTTGCTGGGCATGGTTGCACACACCTTTAATCCCAGCATTCAGGAGGCTGAGGAAGATTGGTAACTGAGTTCAAGGCCAGCCTGGTCTACATTAGAGAGTTTCAGTCCAACCAGAGCTATATAGGGAGACCCTGTCTCAAGAAAAGAAAAGAAGAAAAGAAAAGAAAAGAAATAAAAGAAAAGAAAAGAAAAGAAAAAAGGACTGGGAGGTTGGTAAAGTGGTTCAGAAACTGGAAAGTGCTCTACAAAGTTTTATCCTCAGTGGACACAAGGTTGTCCATGATGTTTCTTTATGAACCAGATTTAGTGGTAGTGACACATACAATATGACCCAACTAATTCCAGGTTTCTGAGCCTGTTTCCTCACCTGTAAAACAGAGGCAATACCACAGTCTCACAGAGTCATTACTGGAGTCAGTGAGATAAGCACAGTGTGGGGATTAGTAGGCATGAGGAACTTCATATTTGTTGAATGAGTCTTTAATGTTGTTAAAATTATGTCAGTGAAGTCTTTCTGAAATACCATCTAAGAAAAATTGGTCACTTCTCCTAGGTATCTGTAGTATTTAAGTTTAGTTTCTGGGAGATAAGGAGGGTTGGAATCCTGGCTCCACCAGTTACTGACTGGTTGACAATCATATTGAGCCACCAGTAAAATTAATCCCTCTAAGCCTGTTTCTCATCTATAAAAGAGTAGTGATAATGCCACCTCATAGGGCTATTGTGAGATTTAGATGCACTGAAGTATGTATAGAACAATGCTGGACACTAAATGTTGCAACAAAGTAGGCCTGTGTTTAGGCAGGGAGCCCTCAAGAAAATTCTTACATTCTCTAGGCAGACTCATATCCTTGTAGCTATCATGACACATAAATAAGTGCCAAGTTGTTGAATTAAATTGAGCTGCTGTATGGCTATGTCAGTTTGTAGTCACTTATTTTAGACTTCCTGCTTTTCAGGAAGTGTTACATAGACTTGTTCTCCACAGGGCAGATACCTGACTTCTTTCTAGTTCATTCATTCCACAATTTTTGTGAGTGTGTGGCCTTTTCACTCATTTTACCATTTTACCATTGAACTACTCCCTCAGACAGGTCTGATTTCTTTTTCTTTTTTTAAAAATTTTTATTTATTATTTTTATTTTATGTGTATGCGTGTATTGCCTGCATGTAGGTAAGTGCACCCATGTCCTGCGATGCCTGCGGAGGACAGAAGAGGCTTGTCAGATCCCCTGGAACTGGCGTTAGGGACAGTTGTTAGCTGCCATGTGGGTGCTGGGATTCGAACCTGGGTCTTCTGCAAGAACAGTTGTTGTTCTTAACCACTGAGCCATCTCTCCCCAGTCTGATTTCTAAATGAGTATTTATATTTAGTTGTCTTTATTTTTATTTTTATTCTTTTTTTGTCTTTTGTGAGACAGGGTCTCCCTGTACCCCAGCTGACCTGGAACTCACTATGTAGACCAGGCTAGCTTCTAACTCACAGAGATCCACCTGCCTCTGCCTCCCAAGTGCTGGAATTAAAGGCACGTGTCACCAAACCTGGCTTTCATTCAGTTGATTTTTTTGAAACAAGATCTCACTATGTAGTCTTTTCAGGCCTGGGACTTGGTATGGAGACTAAGCTGGCCTCCAACTCAAGCCATCCTCCAGCCTTTCCTCTACCTCCCAAGTACTGGAACTACAGATGTATGATACCACACCTGGCTTGATATTTATTTATTATTTATTTATTATTTATTTATTTATTTATGAAGCAGGGTCTCACTACACAATCCAGATTGGCCTCAAAGTTGTAGTCCTCCAGCGTCAGCCTCCCAGTTGTTTGGATAATAAGCGTGTGCTGCCGTACCCAATTCTGCAAAGATGCATTGAGCATGGTCTACTTTTACCCTTGCCTGTTTCAGTGGGTTTATAGGCTTCTCCTCCCTGTATCATTCTGCAGGGTAAATTTGAGTCTCTTGTTTCTTCTTTGTAGCTTTCAATTTGTAAGTTTTCCAGGTTAGGGGCTGGAGAGATGGCTCAGCGGTTAAGAGCACTGACTGCTCTTGCAGAGGACCCAGGTTCCATTCCCAGCACCCACAGGGCAGCTATGAACCGTCCTTAACTCCAGTTCCAGGGGAATCCAAGGCCCTCTTCTGACCTCCACGGCATTGCACAACACAGGTGCACTCACATACATGCAGGCAATACAATCATACACATAAAATAATAAAAATAATAAAATATTTTTAAAAAGTTTTCCAGGTTAATTCAATCTCATCATCTAAATTTCTCTCACATTGTGATTTGACCTTGGTTTTTAAAAAACATTTTATTTATCATTTTTATTTTATGTGTATGAGTGTATTGCCTGCACGTATGTGAGTGCACCCGTGTCGTGCAATGCCAAGGAGGTCAGAAGAGGGCTTGGGATTCCCCTGGAACTGGAGTTAAGGACGGTTTGTAGCCACCATGTGGGTGCTGGGAATCAAGCCCTGTCCTCTTCAAGAGCAGTCAGTGCTCTTCACCGCTGAACCATCTCTCCAGCCCCAATTTGACCTTGGTTGGTTTATTTATTTATGTATTTATTAATTTATTATTATTATTATTATTATTATTATTATTGTCTTTTTTGAAGCAGGGTCTCCCTGTAGCCCCAGCTGTCCTGGAACTCACTATGTAGACCAGGCTGGCCTTGAACTCACAGAGATCCGCCTACCTCTGCCTCCCAAGTCCTGGGACTACAGGCATGCACCACCACGCCGGGTTATTTATTTTTATTTTTGAGACTAGGGTCTCCCTGTAGCCCCAGCTGGCCTGGAACTCGATGTGTAGTCCAGGCTGGCCTTTATCGCACAGAGATCTGCCTGCCTCTGCCTCCCCAGTGCTGGGATTAAAGACATGTACCACCACACCTGGCTTTGACCTTTTTTTTTTTTTTTTTTCTTTTTGGTCTTTTTGAGACAGGGTCTCCCTGTAGCCCCAGCTGTCCTGGACTCACCATGGAGACCAGGCTGGCCTCGAGCTCACAGAGATCCTCCTGCCTCTGTCTACCGAGTGCTGGGATTAAAGGTGTGTGCCACCATGCCCAGCCTGACCTTGATATTTAAAAAAATATTTTATTATTTTTATGTGTATGTGTGTGTTGCCTGCATGTAGGTAAGTGTACCCGTGTCGTGCAATGCCTGCAGAGGACAGAAGAGGCTGTCAGATTCCCTGGGACTGGGGTTATGGACAGTTAGCTCCCATGTGGGTGCTGGGATTCGAACCCAGGTCTTCTGCAAGAACAGCCGGTGTTCTTAACTGCTGAGCCACCTCTCCAGCCCTGACCTTGATATTTTTTATTTATTTTTATTTCACGTGTAGGAGTGTTTTGCCTGCATGTATGTAAGTGCATGTCTTGGAATGCCTGCAGAACCAGAGGAGGGCATCAGATTCCCCTGGAACTGGTGTTACTGACAGTTGTTAGCTACCATGTAAGTGCTGGGAACCAAACCTTTGTCTTCTGTAAGAGCAGCCAGTGCTCTTAACCTCTGAGCCATCTCTCTAGTCTCTAACCTCCATATTTTAAATTTTATTTTGTCTTTTTGAGACAGGGTTTCCCTGTAGCCCCAGCTGGCCTGGAACTCTCTGTGTAGTTGAGACTAGCCTTGATCTCACAGAGATCCACCTGCCTCTGCCTCCCGAGTGCTGAGATTACAGGCCTGCGCACCACACCCGGCTCTGAATTTTATTATTTAAGCAAAATTAAGCATAATAAGGACTATTAAACAAATCACGAGAGGTCATTGTTTCGGACTGAACTCTTGCCTAAGGTCCCCCAAAACCAGACCAAACCAAAATGGACTCAGTCATGCTAAATGCCACAACCAAAATGAAACTTTAAGGGAGGTAGATTCTAAAACATACCAGTTTTTCCTGAAAACAAGAGATTCCAGTCTAGAGTTGTTAAATAAAAAAACCTGGCCACTGCTTTAACCTTTAACAAAAAAGTTATCTGAAGCTGCCCAGTTTACTATTTTCCCTATGTTCTGTTTCTTGGTTCCCACCTTTCTGCTGTCATTGTGCTTTGTGGACCAGAGGCTGCCATGATCAGAGTCACAAAAGCTGATTCACAAAATCTTTCATCTATATGCAAATTTTTTC